TTCAGTCAGGAGGCAATAGAGCAGTATTTTTCAATCTTTTTTTGTACCAGGACCCATTTGTAACCATCGAAGGCCAGTCTCGACCCAGTAAATAGTTTAAGTAGAAAACACACAAGTATTTTGGCTCCAAAATACTTAATCCACACTACAACTTAAACTATTGAACTGCTTTTCATTTTAAAGAGAGAGCCCACATCAAAAGGAAGACACAGATTCATAGATGTAGGGTCGGAAGGGACCTTGCAGATATTCTAGTCTGACCCCCTGCCCTGGGCAGGAGAGAACTGGGCTCAAATGCCCCCAGCCAGGTAATTGTCAAGCCTCCTCTTAAAGACCCCCAACATAGGAGCCAGCACTACTTCCCTTGAAAGTTGGTTCCAGATCCTATCCACCCTGACTGTGAAGTAGTGCCTTCTAATGTCCAGCCTGAACCTACTCTCAAACAGCTTATGGCTATTATTCCTTGTTACTCTGGGAGGTGCTCAGGGGATCAAGGTCTCTCCCATTCCCCACTGGTCCCCCTTAGTAAGCTGACTTCAGAAGGGCCAGCTTCAATGAGCTTAGGAGACTAGTAGGGGAGGCACTGAAGGCCCATAAGGTAGAGGAGATGGGAGTCCACATGGGATGGTCATACCTTAAGGGGTTGATCCTCCAGGCCCAAAGGATAACAGTCCCCGAGAGAAGCAAGGGGGGCAAGAGGGCTCAGAAACCCCCTTGGCTTGGCAAGGGCATTCAGCAATGCCTGAGGACTAAAATGGGAGTGTACAACCAGTGGAAGGGAGGCGCTATCACCAAGGAGGTGATCTCCTCCTCGGCCTGTGAGAGTAGGAGGGCTATTAGGAAGGCCAAGGTAGAGATGGAACTCAGGTTAGCGTCCAGGATTAAGGACAACAAAAAGTCCTTTTTCAAGTACACTGGGAGCAAGAAGAGGGCACCAAGCAATGTAGGGCCCCTGCAAGACGCAAATGGTAATCTTGTGGCTACGCCAGGCAAGAAAGCTGATATTTTTAACAGTTCCTTTACCTCGGTTTTCTTGAACAGGGACCGGGACATCCCACCTACCAGAGGTAGGGCCAATCTCGGGGATTGCTCTGTCAGGCCTTCAGTCAGTGCAGATGTAGTTGGGGATCTTCTGGAAGGGCTAGACGTTTTTAAATCTGCAGGGCCAGGTGCCTTCCAACCACAGGTGTTGAGGGAGCTGGCAGGGGTCATCCAGGAGCCCTTGGCCTAGCTGTATGAGCATTTGTGGTCATCTGGCCAAGTGCCAGCGGATTGGAAACTGGCTTATGTCCCAATTTTCAAGAAAGGGAGGAAGGAGGACCCAAGTAACTATAGGCCTGTAAGCCTTACCTTGGTGCTCGGGAAGATCTTGGAGAGAATCATCAAGGAGCACATCTGTGGGGGGCCTGCAGGGGAGATCATGCTCAGGGGCCATCAGCATGGGTTCATCAAAGGCAGGTCCTGCCAGACCAACCTGATTGCCCTTTATTACCAAGTAACTAAATCCTTGGATGATAGTGTTGCCGTGGGCATAGTCTTTCTAGACTTTAAGAAGGCGTTTGACACTGTCTCTCACCCTATCCTCATCGATAAATTACGCCTACATAGTTGGATGGGTAAAAAATTGGCTGATGGGGCACATCCAGAGTGTAATGGTGGACGGGTTGTACTCAACCTGGCGAGATATGAGCAGTGGGGTACCCCAGGGCTCAGTCCTCGGGCCCGCACTGTTTAACATCTTCATCAGCAACTTGGGCGAAGGGGTGGAAAGCACACTGTCCAAGTTTGCTGATGACACTGAGATGTGGGGCGAGGTGGACACACTTGAAGGGAGAGAGAGGCTGCAACTAGATTTAGACAGACTACAAAAGTGGGCAGACGAGAATAGGATGGGGTTCAACGTAGACAAATGCAGGGTGCTGCACCTTGGGAGAAGGAATCCACAGCATACATACAGGCTGGGGAGTTCCCCTCTTGAAAGCACAGAGGTGGAAAGGGATCTTGAAGTCATTATTGACTCCAAGATGAACATGAGCCGCCAATGCCAGACCGCAGCCAGCAAGGCCAGCCATACCTTGCCATGCGTCCAAAGGTGCATCTCAAGTTGGTCCAGAGAGGTGATACTGCCCCTTTATGCGACTTTGGTCAGACCGCAGTTGGAGTACTGTGTCCAGTACTGGGCGCTGCACTTCAAAAGGGATGTGGCCAGCCTGGAGAGGGTTCAGAGGAGGGCTACCTGCTTGGGGAGAGGGCAGCAGAAAAAGCATGACAAGGAGAGACTGAGGGACCTGAACCTGTTCAGCCTCAGCAAGAGGAGGCTGAGGGGGGACCTGGTTGCTGCCTACAAACTCATCAGGGGAGATCAACAGCAAATAGGTAGAGCCCTTTTCTCCCCAGCACCACCTGGGGTGACAAGGAACAATGGTAATAAGCTGATGGAGAATAGGTTTAGGTTAGAGATCAGAAGGCAATATTTTACAGTTAGGGTGGCCAAAATCTGGAACCAACTTCCCAGGAAAGTGGTCCTCCCCCCTACCTTGGGCAAATTCAAGAGGAGGTTGGACGATCACCTGTCGGGGGTCTTGTGAACCCAGCATTCATTCCTGCCTGTGGCAGGGGGTCAAGCTAGATGATCTGTTCAAGTCCCTCTTGACCCTAGCTACTATGAAGTTTATAGACAGTTGATGGCAATATGAACATGTAGCCCTCCATTATTCCCAAGTGATGTTCATTATGTAAGTTGCATGGTGCAGTTTGCTGGTGCCACTCACTCCCAACTTGCAGCCCCCTGGCCCTGCCAGTGCCTCTCAGTCCCAACCCACTGCCCCCCACCACCAGACCCTAGCCCCACAGTGAGGGGGAGGGGGGGAGTCTGTATGCCCACAGTGGGCACAGGGGTGCAGCCTAACCAGACTAGCATAGACAGGAGCTGCTTCCATGGCCCAGTGGGCAGGACCTGGAGCAGGGTGTTGAGACTTGTTGCAGCCACCATCAATGGGACCCCTGCACCATCAGCAGCACAAAGAGTAACAGATGAGGGGGCCACAATGCCTTCACCTCTTCCTGCTGCCAGTCGCTCATGCACCAGGCAATGGCTCTATCCTGTCACCATGGCCACTCCCCCTCAGGCTGCCCACACTGCCCCCTCCAGGGTTAAGTCACAGCCTAAGGGGAGTGTTGGCAATGGCAGCCAAGCCATGACAGCAGGGTAGAGGTGCAGCCTGAGGAGAGTAGCTGGTGGTGGGAGATGAGGGCAGTGCAGCCCCCCTCCTTGTTTCTATTACTTGTGCTGCTGGGGGGCCTGGTGGCACCAGCAATTCTCACTGGAGGTCCTGCATGCTGGACTGCAGAAGCAGCTTCTACCTGTGCCAGTTCAGCCAGGCTGCAGCCCCATGCCTGCTGTGGGCACACAGATATGAGTAGGGGGGCATGTGTCCCCCTGATGTGTTGCCTGTGCCACCTTGTCCCTCTGTGTTGTCTGTGCCCCCCTCCTGCCCCATAGACTTATCTGTGGGGAGCTGTGGGAGCTGCCTTCCATGCTGCCTGGCTGCCACATGCATTTGTGCATGCGGAGTCCTCTTCCTGATCACCCTTCTCCCTCCACCCCCGCCCAGCCGAAAGCAGCCCCTTGCAGGTTTTAACTCTGTCAGCCTGCAAGGGGAAACCCATGGTTTCCTACTAGTTTTTCCTTTAAAGGAGAAAATCTGAGATTTAAAAAAAAAAAGTTTTTCCGTGATTGTTTGTGACCCTCATACGTTCTTGAGACTCACTTTTGGGACGCATCCCATGGGTTGAGACCCCCATGGGTCTCTGCACTAGGGGGCTGCTTCTTGGGCCCCCCACCCCCACTTCCCCTAAGGGGAGTACATTGACAGCCTTCCCTGCCTGGGAAGTGGGGGAGGCTGTCAGGTGGCAGGTGAAAACTTCAGAAAAGCAGCAACTGTTACAGACTGCTGGGGAGCATTGTGACCTGGGAGACTGTCTTCCCTTCTGTACACATGTGCATGCGTGCTCCCACACGCAGACTCCTGCCAGTCAGCTGATTTGGTAGGAGGGGTGCCATTCCCCTGTGGTGGGGATCTTTCCAGTTCCCCCTGTAGGGGAATAGCCCTACTCCTTGCATTCCTGAGCTGACTTGGGGGAGGGGGGGGCACTCAGCCCCCATGGCAAGACTCCAGGAGCCTTGCTGCAGAGTCATGGCAACCTGCCTCACCTTGCGATGCTGAGCTCACCCAGAGCAGTGTGGGGTGATACGGGGCATTTGGCTCCCAAACTGTGCTGCAGCAGCACAGCAGTCTGCCCCATTCAGCTGACTCGGCAGAGTAAAGTGGTAGGGGTGCTGATTTGGGGTAGGGTAGTAAAGTGGTAGGGGTGCTAGCACAGGCGGGAATGAGGCCTGTATAGGCTTTCCTCAGACCAGATTACCCGGCCCTCCTGCTTTTAAATTGTCACCTCCATCGCTCAGCTGAGTAGTTGGGCGAGTTGAACAGAAGCCAGCATGGCTGAGAGCTGACGGCCAGGTTTGAGTTGGCTGCTCCGTTGCTCTTCTCACCTCCAAGCTGAGCAACTGGTGAGGAGGAGGGGGGAAAGGTGGGGTTGAGAGCATAGAGAAGGCAAGGGGCTGTGCTCAGCTCAGGAGTCAGTATATATAGGACATGCTACAAAGCCCAATAACGCAAGATCATCTGGTATAGGAAAGACATACCAGCAGTTCATCCATTTCTGTGTTTTATATAGAATGCTACCTATTAACTTGGGCCATGTGCCTAACTAATGGGTCTTTCAGGACTTTTATTTTACCACACTGCTTACGTGCTGCTGTAAACCATTGAAGCTTTACCTTATTAAACACCAGTCTTGCTACAGCACTTTGAGTGCAAAAGTTGAATTAAGAGCACTTCTGGTGTCCTTTCTCTGGAATATTTCCCTATTGAAGTACCTGCCTGTGTACTTACAGGTGAAAGACCTTTACCCTAATGTTGTGCATTTTATATATGTAGGTTTAAGAAAATCTACGAAGAAGCGCAGTGAGTCACCACCTGCTGAGCTCCCCAGTTTGCGGCGGAGCACACGGCAAAAGACCACGGGCTCCTGTGCTAGCACCAGGTACAACTTTTGCATTCAAGATCATGATTTGTGCATATACTGCTAGTGCAACTGATCAGAAAGTTTGTTCCCCTTATCTGATGGAAAGCTCTTGTGCAAAAAAGGACTGTGATTCAAAGGCCCATCAAGTCATGATAAACACTGGGATAATGGGAACATGGGGAATTTAGCTTTATCCAAAGATGCCGTATATCACCAACTACTGGACAGGGAAATACCACCAAATAATAAGCACGTTCAGATTTTCTGGTCTCTGATCCAGGGATGTTTAATGTAGAATATATATTTTTTTCAGTTGGGCCATGCTTCAAAGTCTCCCCTTGCTTGGAAACGACTGGTGTGCAGCTGCTGCTGCAAGTTAGCTTGCTTGGAAGGAAAGAAGGGCTTGTGTGCTATAAGTAGCTGTTTGGGCCTTATAGTAGCTAATTACCACTTTTTTTTTTTTCTCTAAGAACATTCAGATGATTATAACTTCTAGGAGGAAAGGAGGCCCTCTTACTTTTTCTTAACAAGCTTTTGTTAGTTTACTTAAACTACAAGAATTGTTACTATGTTAAAGTTTCTGTAGTCCCTGAATATTAGTTTAATATTACAAATTTCAAAGTATGGTTACAGCATAAACGTCAAAATAAAAAGGCCTGAATCTTGGAACCAACTACTAACATCCACAAAATATACTCGCCTCTATTTTCCTTGAAAGGTCTCTAAATGTGTACAGAAAGCATTGGGTGATGAATCACTGACTGACCTGCAGCTAAGACAAAATCGGTGAACATCAGATTTGTACAGGATGAAACCAGATATGATTTACAGCCTGGAACAGTAGGTTGATAATGTAGGGTGCTGGGATAGAAGAGGTCAAATCAAAATTGGTTCTCCTGAAGTTAGGGAGTGCAGCAAGGAAATGTGTGGACAAAGTTTAGGAAAATACTTAGTGGTGTTTAACTGCACCCTTAGTTTACTATTCTGGATCTTGGATTATCCCATTTTAGGTATCAGTGTTGGAAGGTGGGGTGGCCAGCCTTTGGCACTTATGGCAGGGACAGCCTGTGTGTGGCACATGGCAGATTGGAGAGGGTTAGGCAGCACAGTGGCAAGTAGAGCAGCATATCGGGCATGGAACACAGGGAAGGGAGTCAAAAGCAGAGCAGCAGATTAATCGGGGAAAGTATCGGAGTGGCCCTCAAGAAATGTGCAGGGCTAACTTTGTGGTGCTCTTGCCTAAAGGGCTGACCCCCACTGTTTTGAGGTCTGAGTGGTTTTTAAGATAAACTCAGACTTAAGGCACTAAGGATGATGGCAACTTAAAGCTCTTAGTGACACCTTTTGAAGCTAGTTAGCTATTTTGAAGGCCTTCGCTATCGATATTTGTCAAGAGCAGACATTGCAGCTCATAACTTCGTAGTTACTGAGTCTGTTTTGTCTTAACACAGCCTCAAATAAGAAGTGCTAAGCTGAAACTTGTAGAACTAATACAGTCTTGGTCAACATGTTTAAAAACTTAACCTTGAGAATGGGAAATTTAAGTAATAAACATTTCTGGGTCTCCACAGGGAAAGCTGAAGATAAAATAGACCAGTGTAGCTGAGATTTTATGCATGAATGCCAAATTAGTTCCAGAACCTTCACAAATATTTACTGGCTATCAATACTTTGATTCTGCTTATTGGCCCATTTGTGACATTAAACTAATTATCCATTTCTTAGACTACTTTATCAGGATATAAAGGACAAAGTGCTCCACATGGCCTCTAAAGTTACCTTTAAAGCATCACCAAATTTTTAGCAAATGACGTATTTTATAAAATTTTCAACCCTTCTTTCAGTGTTTGCAGTATTTTTGCCAATAAAACAATCTTTATCCCATGATACTGTCAGGAAAAGTTGTGGGGTGAAGAGGTCAAGGGGAAGGGAAAATCAATTGGTCTCCCTTATTGCTAGCAGAAAACTAGAGTAAAGGTACTAAATGGCAGGAATATTTGGACCCTTTATTCTTTCTTCTCCATGTAAAGTCCTATGTTGGACTTTGACCAAATTCAGATCAGGGAGAACCTGTGTTCTTCTCCAACATCCTCTTAAGCTTGGTAGGATTTTTCTTCTGGTGTGTCTAGCTATATAATACTAGCTTTTGTGCTGGAAGCAGTATAGTTGTTGTAGCGTGGAGCCCTGCATAGTGTAGTAATAACCTGTTTCTGTGGTAAATACTCAGCAGGGCAATCCCAGTCAGTGAGCTGGCTTGGGTAGTTCTGCTGCAGTGCAGGCACATGCTCTTAGAAGGTAAGCTCTCCTAAGGTCTGTCTCTGAAATTTCTTTTTGCACCAATTGCCATAGCCAAGCTGTCTTGGTAGCTTGTGACTGACTCGGTTTCTCATCGTTAGTGGTCATTAGGTATGAATTTTCAAGGTATGTTCTAACGTGCTTATAAGCAACAAATGGTGCACAGAGGGAATCCTGGACTTTTTATTTTCTTGAACAGGTCTGGCAATTTTTCTTAGAGTTCAGGCCATACTGCCCAACTAACTTCCTTGTGGATGTGAGAATGGCACTGACCATTTTGAAAGAAACAAATAAAGACCACCCACATAGTTGAGATCTACCAAAGGAAACAAGTTGGACTAAGCATTCCTGTTCTCTGGCATGCCTGTTAACTTTCTTTAGTCTTCATTTCCTACTGACATCTACTTTTTAAATATTATATAGATTTTGTTTATGCTAATTCATTGAGCGGTCTGGTTTTCTAGAATCTCATCACAATATTGAAATTCCCGTGAAACATCTCTGCATTTTTTTCGTTCTCAAGAAAATGGTGTCCAAAAGACTGCCTAACAAATGCATCATTTTCTGAATACAAAATCATTACAAGGAATGCATTTGGAGGTTTGCTTTTTTTAGGTTTTTGAAACAAAATTCTTTTGAATTAAAGAGGAGACAGACACTAAGCATTGTGACACTAAAAAGCATTTGCTGAGCTGACACTGTTTGAAATTCTTGTGTTGCCTTTTATGCTGTTTGCAATATCATTTGGTAAAACTACTTGACATGTCAATGAAGGCAGGAGAAATTCTAGTCTCTGAACCTAAACCTTCAAGCAGGTAATTGGGGGAAATGTCAAAAGTTTTATGTTTTGGGTGATAATGCAGTTTTGTAGCCTATACGCTGTGTAATGTAGATTTTGAATTATTTTAATGAAATTTGTTTACCTTCAGGCTAAACTGGATTTGACAGCCTTGACTGGGGTCCTTTTTTCTCCTCTCAGTGACTTGGAAAAACTGAAAATGTAGTCTTCATTTGAAAGATTGCTATGAATGTGCATTGTCACTTCATAATTGTCTGAATTGCAGACATTAATTTGTTTTTGTTTTTTACACCTGTTAGTAACACCCTCACTTTGGTCCTGCAAGTAAAGATGAAATCTTTGACTCAGCCTTAATCACTGATTTAAGAGTCAGTGGAGTCGACTGATTTTTTTTTTTTTTTTTTTTTTTTTTTTTTTTTTTTTTTTTTTTTTTTTTTTTTTTTTTTTTTTTTTTTTTTTTTTTTTTTTTTTTTTTTTTTTTTTTTTTTTTTTTTTTTTTTTTTTTTTTTTTTTTTTTTTTTTTTTTTTTTTTTTTTTTTTTTTTTTTTTTTTTTTTTTTTTTTTTTTTTTTTTTTTTTTTTTTTTTTTTTTTTTTTTTTTTTTTTTTTTTTTTTTTTCTCCACGCAAAAAATTGAAAATATAAATGGGTGGGCTATTCTAATGAATTTGCATTTCGATTGGTATTCTGAATTTATATTTTTGGTAGTCAGTTATTCTGCATGAGAGTCGAAATAAAGATTCAGATTGTGATGAGCTGTCTTTAGCACCCATCATTGTAATACATTGTCTATACATATAAATAGGGATATCATGAAAATAAAATGGCTTAAAATGCCGTGGGATAGGTAGGGAGGAAAAAATTGCTTGGGAGTACCAGATGCTGGTATCCTTTATTTGGGCTCTACTTTTGTGAAGTATTATGTGGACAAATGCTGTTTGATTTCGTGCATTCCTAGTCGGCGAGGCTCTGGCCTGGGCAAAAGAGGAGCAGCTGAAGCTCGCCGACAGGAGAAAATGGCTGATCCTGATAACAACCAGGATGGAGTTAATTCTTCAGCTGCACGGACAGATGAAGCTCCACAAGGAGCTGCAGGTAAGTAAGAATGCTAACTTGACAACATACTTTTTTCTAGCATTCTGTGATGCTAACCCCTTACTTGATTTCATTTTTCCTAATGCTAAATGAGGAAAAAATAAGTGCATTGGCCTTTCCAACTTGGTTTTGGTGAAATAGAAAAACTGATTATTTAGATTGACACCCTTTCTTGTATTGAAGAGCACCTTACTTCTGGTCTTACTGAAATTTTTTATAGGGTAAAATGTAGTGCAGTGGGAGCAGGGGTATCCCAACCTGGGTTGGTTCAGAACACATTTGTTTAAATTTTCCAATTATGATGTTGGCTTTTAGAAAAAATAATTTAAAAGTATTTCATTTAAAAATACAACACTGACTTACTTCAGTCTAAACTTTCAAAATTCAACAAAAATGCAGCATTACACTTTTGGTTATTTAAACTCTGTTTGTACATCTTTGTGTACAGTGTATGGTCTGAAAGCTAAAGCAAATCTTTGGTTGCAATTATATGCACTCTGTGACCTCATTTTGTGTCTTGGTGAAACTGTCTTTTCTAAGTGAGAAAAGAATCTACAGCACAGGATGGGCATTCACTCTTTTTGTTGCATAAATATCACCTAAAAGAACCAGCATTGTAGGATATTTTGTGAAGGCCAGTCCTATGCTGCTGAAGTCGATGGCAATTTAGGTAATGACTTTAGGTGTGGAATTGGAGCCTAAATGTTTCCACAGTGCTTTTTGTACTTAAAATAAATTGTTGATTCTTACCAGCTTTTATAACTCTTCTACCAGCTTCTAGTTCAGTTGCTGGAGCTGTAGGCATGACCACCTCTGGAGAAAGTGAATCAGATGATTCTGAGATGGGAAGGCTGCAAGGTAAAAAGCTGTTTTAGTACCTCTAAGTGTATATGGTGTTGAATGTTTTCATATATTCTTACTGCCTATTCTATATTAATTCAAAAACCCACTGGCTTTTGTGTACTGGGAGAATTTTTAGTTTGCTAAAGATGGTAAAGAATTTGGCAGTACAAGAGAAACCTGAACTTATTCTTAACTCATCAAACATGACACACTTTAACTAACTTTTCCTATTTATGTACTCTTCAGAAAACTCCACATGATTAAAAGCTTTTGAGATGAAGCTCCACTTAATATGCAAGCCTGTATTTTGCAAGGAGGAAAGCTCATTGCCATGAATAGTCTTTGTTTGTAAAACCAAGACTCTTTAAGCCTGCCACTTCTTTTCCCTTGCTGTTCAGTGTGCCTCTGCATCCATTCTCCAAGGATCCGCCTCACCTCCCTGCCCCCAATCTGAATGTTTCTGATCAGTTCTGTAATTTGAAATCAGGACCACTCATTTGAAGACAAGAAAATAGAATGAGCTAGACTGCTTTTATATTAAAATACTTGGATTTTCTTCACGCCTTTCAGATGCTTTTTGCCAAAACACTTCACAATTTCATTTGCCACCCACCCTTTCCAGTCAGTAATAATATATCTATTCAGTTTTCCCCTCCTCTAGATTTTTTTTGTCCATTCACACAGGTTTCTTGTTATCTGTTAGAAATAAGAAACCTGCTGTTTTTGTATTTGAGCATTAATTTTTTTACAACAGTTTCCTGTTTTAGAAATAGCCTCATTAGAGATGGGCTCCAATTTCTGCATCAAAGAAAAATTAGTCACAGTTTAATCATGTAGCATTTCAAAAAGGAACCAGCAAACCCCACAATTCTAGTTGATGGCTTTCTAATGATTTTTTTTCTTTTTTTTTTTTTTAATGGCCTTCTTGTCCAGATTCATATTTGTCTTTAAATTGCACCTAAGTAAAGAATGAGCTTTGGAGATCAAATGCATGTCTTTTCTTTTCAGTTTGTGCCTTACCTTACAAAAGAAAAAAAGTTATTCAAAATTCTGTTGCCTCAAATTTTAGGGTTCATGAATTTGTTGAATTGGAGCTTTGACAGTGACTGTTCAAAAACCTGTTTTGTTTTTAGCCCTGTTAGAGGCTAGGGGTCTTCCCCCTCACCTTTTTGGCCCTCTTGGTCCTCGGATGTCGCAGCTGTTTCACAGGACAATTGGAAGTGGAGCTAGTAAGCAAATTTCATATAATTTGACTTAATTCTTTCTGTAGTTTATAGAATGGCTGAATTTAGCCAGTGGTAAATGTAATACCGGTGTAAATATTTTAATTATCGCTAACTGCAAAATATAATATTATGAGTAACTTTTAATTGACGTGGAAATCCAACATATAAAAACGTTACGTCCCTTCCTCCCCTCTTAGTGATGGAGCACTAGAAGAACTTGATTAATTTTTTAAAACACTGTCTTATTTGTCCGCTCAGTATGTTTTCCTGGCTTTTAAAAAACCATACTGAAAATTAGATATAAAGTTGGTTGGATACAGTATCTTTAAGCCCCATTGTTTATATGGGTTCAAAGGGACACCTCTTTCAAGTGCAGCAGTTTCATCAGAGGCTAAAAATGAAGTCTTATTTTCCACCTCTCCCCTATCATCTCTGTTGTGAAGTTGGGTGTGTAGTCAAAAAAACAAGGAGGACATTCAGTTATATCTGTCAGCACATCACATTCAACAGGGGGATTTAATTTATCATCTAATTCTTACTCTGGGTATACAGCATTCTCTGGACCTGGGGTACATGCTGTTTGCTTTCTAAAGACGATATAGTATGCACTACACATCACTTCACGTATCCTGTACCCTCCTACTGTATGCAGCAAGGAAAGCTCTAACTGTACACAACTGTCTCTCTCTGCTGGTTTGAGCTAAACACTGAATAGTGATTATCCACAAAAATGAGACCATGCTATACACAGACAAAGCAAACTACCTCTGCTCTCTCAGGATACATATAAACATTTGATCAGAGTGGTCTTTACACTAAAAATATACAGGTTCTAATGGATTTTTTCTCCTTAGGTTCTAAAGCCCAGCAGCTTCTACAGGGTCTCCAGGCCACTGATGAAAGCCAGCAGTTACAAGCAGTAATTGAGATGTGCCAGTTGTTGGTTATGGGGAATGAAGAAACTTTAGGTGGATTTCCTGTCAAGAGTGTTGTACCAGCTTTGGTAAGACTCAACTATAATGCTGTATTTGTATGTTAATACTCCTTTACTATTCCTTTCCCCTATATTACCTAAAGGGGATGTTTTTAAAGACTGACAGGTTTCTTTTTGTCTTTAAGGCCATACCCAGACGAGTGTAGAGGTGTGGTATGTGGTGCCACAGACCCGTCTGTGGCTCCACACACTACATATGCAGGTGTTCCCCATGCTGCTACCTTGCAGAGTTGGGGGACCCTTGGAGATTCTGGAGTAAAAAACCCATTTAAAAAAAAAAAAAGTGGGGTGGTGCACATGGTGGTAGTGTGTGCCACCCAAAACCAGAGCCTGGCTGGCTAGAGCCACAGTCCTGCTGCTGGCCAGGCCCCCTGCCATGGCTGCAGCTCCCCAAGGGCCCCCAAAAGCCCAGTAACGCCTTTGGGACTGTTGCTGGCTCCAGCTTTCCCTACCCCACAGTGCTGGAGTGTGGATTGTCATGGGCGTTCCCTGGGGAAACAAACATTCACACTTGTCTGGATGTGTCCTAATTCTGCTTTGAGGGGTAGCCATGTTATGAAAAAATATATACCTGTATTGACACATCCTAATTTTTATTCCACATAAATGTGTGACTTAGATATGCAAAATTTTTGCTTTTCCTGGCATGTGCTGGATACACACTGGTACTTGAGCACAGCTGTTATAATAACTTGGGGTAGGGGATGCTTGCCTCCCTCTTTTAGTGGTATGGTTCTTCTTTAGTCCCAAACACTAGAAAAAGGATATGCTACTCCAAAACAAAATCTCTCCTTCAGGCTTGGTTTTTTATAGTCCAGTACATCCAGTATATTATCTGTCCTTTTTGGCATCTATAGTTTCTTTACTTTAGTTTCTCTTAAATAAGGGTTCACTTCTACTCCCCAGATTCTTTACTGCTTTCTCAGTAGTGTCTGTAAATAATTCTTAAACTGTTCTTGTCTGCTGACATCTGTTATTACCTTACATAGCTCTACCCAAGCCTCTCTTACCAGAGGCTTTCAGAATGGGCCAAAACAGCCATAGATATTCTCCCTTGGGTCTGCTAGCAAATGTACTCTGTGCTGTCCTCAAGGTTTCTCTCCCACATCTCCAGTGGCTTGGTTTTTATAACATGCAGGTCTTTAATTTTGACCTTTTGTGAGTCCTTGCAAACTGAGTCTCAGAATTTCTACTTTTAAATAGGCTGAGATGCCATAAAAGGAATGTTAGGCTGCATTGCTCCTTGAGGGCCAATGTACTCTGTTGTATATGACACACACATCTGCTATAGTAGCACCTTGGACCTCTAATAAAGGAACATTTGCATTAGGTGCTGTGCAGCTAGTTATTAAAATAGCTGTTGCTGGGGTGGATCTAGGATTGTATGAAGGAGAGATGGGGGGTGGGTCCAGAAGCTGCTACCAGTGCTTCAGGTGTGGCTTCAACCCCTCAGCCTCCCCACCCTTTTTTTCCCCTACCAAACTGGCAGTGTGTGTAGGGGAGGAGCAGCCACAGCACATCTCCCCCCCACCCCCCGTTTGCTGCTGATAGTGTCCCTGAAGTCCCAGGGGTGAAGAGCTCCAGTGCCACTCCACTTCTTGGAGGCTGGTCTCAGCCTGGGACAGCAGCAGTGATAGTGGTGGGCAGGTGCCCCCTCCCCCCCTGCCCACCTGCTGCACCCAGGGAGAGTCTGCCTGCCCCCTGCTGTTCCCACTGTCCCAGACTGAGCCCAGCCCAGCCCCCATGCAGCCCAGCTGGAGCTGGGCACAAGCTCTTCTCACCCCCAAGAGAGTGGAAACACTGGTAGTGTCAGGTGAGCAGGAGAGGATGTGCTGTGAGGGGAGGAGATTCCCCTCTGAGCACAGAGGGGGAAGGGAGGGGGGGGGATTCTTTTCTTCAGGAAAGTCCTGCACAGAGCAGCTCACATCTTTAGTTTCAAGACAGATTATAAAAAGAAGACAAATGGATGGGAATGGGACCTGAAAAATAACAGCAGTAAAAATTTAGAATGAAGGCAGATGACACGGCTCATCCCGTGCTTAAGACAATTCGGATAGGAGAGACTTATAGACAGACTCATAGAGAGGTTTTTTAGATGGATTTAAAAGTGGGTTAAGTTGATAGTTTTGTGAACTTGGGGATCTTCCAGTGTTCATAGGCAGTGTGTTAAGAAGCACAGAGGCCATCTTTACGCATGCTCAGGGAGGTGTGTGTGTGTGTGTGTGTGTGGGGGGGGGGGGGGGGGGCGCTTTTAGTTAGAGCGGCTCTTGGGTGCCACTCTAATTGAAGTGCCCTCAGTGTCTCGTGTATTCAGCACTCCCTCGCTTCAAAATGGTGATGGGGTCGCTTTGACTAAAACTCATTCAATTAACTTCAGTTAAGTGCCCCCGCTCCCATTTTGAAGCACTGGGACTGAATACATGAGATGCCAAGGCTGCTGGAGCATGTTAATTAATCAGTCTGCCAGGCATCCCACACCTCTCTAATGCACCTCTGGGTGCCTGTAGACAAGTGAGTAAGTTCCTATTGTCAGATGCTTGCCATAGACTTAAAGGTAACAAGTGACTGTTTTTAGACCCTGTCCAAGAGCAGGATGTGTGGAGACTTCGTAGTCCTGGAGAGAATGAACTTAGTGTAGGCAATTGGCTTTGGATATTTGAGAGAAGGGGAAAACATAATTAAAAACACTTCTACTTATAGATGTTAAGGTCCTTTTGAATGTCTTCTGAAATGTTTTACTGTTCTGTGCTGTAGAGAGGGTGTTTCTGCTTTAAAATTTTGGTTTTGGATTCCATTAATAACTTTCACGAAAGGTGGTTATAGCTGTTTTTGAAACCGTCCTAATGTTCCAGAGTCTTCAGTCAAGCAGTAGCAAAATGCTCAACAGGATTGTGATTATTTTATAGAATGGTATCTTCTGTAAATCTGGCATCTTACACTAATTTAGAGCAGAACTGATTGGGTATTCTTTTTCTTTTATAGATAACATTGCTACAGATGGAACACAACTTTGACATTGTAAGTGATATGAGTTATTTATAAATCAACTCTTTTCTGCAAGCTTAATTTAGATAGATAGTCATGGAGAACATTTCTTTTTCTAGATGAACCATGCTTGTCGAGCCTTAACGTACATGATGGAAGCACTTCCCAGGTCATCTGCTGTAGTGGTAGATGCAATTCCTGTCTTTTTGGAAAAGGTAGTGTTAATTGTATCTTCCACAGTTAAAAGTACATGCCTGTCAAACTGAAGGACAACTTTTTACTTTGAGTAAGCTGTTTAGTCTAATGACTGTATAATATGGTAGCTAATATGCATCACTGCAGACTGAAAACTAGCCCAGCATATTGCTTACAACTGGATTACAGTAACTCCACCAGTGCTGTGGAGATGAACCTAATCTAGTTTTAAACTAGCTAGTTTGGATACTGCTAGCAGTGTAGTCTCAGCAGCTCAAAGTTCAGCGCAGACTGTAGAATCCCATCTGAGTGTTTAATTTGTTTCTTAAGTGGGTTTCATGGTTCATGTTGAGTCCTGTGCTGCCAGGCATCATTGTTAACAGGATCTGCACTAGCTAGATAGGCTTATCTACAAGAGCTTCAGGCACTGCAGTGTAGACAAGTATGGTAACCTGCTCTTAGTCCCAGATTGTTAATTATAACCTACTTTTGTGTTTCTACAACAGCTGTAATCAGAGGAAGTGCTTGAACTGGCTTCAGACTTTATTGAGGGCTTCTGGTCTTTCTTTCTATGTAGTTTGCTCTGGATTTAAAATAAAAGGCTGGTGACCTATCTTTGGTTTTAAGGACCCAAGAAAGATTTTTAATTTGGGGATACATTGCAGTATGGTTGTGTTAGCTGTATCTACAGACAAGACATTTTAGCTGTCTTCTTTTCAAAACCATAACTTTTTTTACTAACTATCTAGAGGAAACGGCAACAGTGATCTCAGGCCTCTGGGCATATTTGTGAAAGAGTACACTTGGTTCATGTTGTTTATAGTTAATGATTTTTTTGCTTCATTATTCTTTTATTGTAACCTTTTTCTGTTTTGAGGACTGGGGACTTTTTCAAGCGGTGTTACCTTGGGAGAGGATTTAAATACCACGTGCTTTGAGAATCCCCCTCAATTCAAATTAAAATCTTTTTGCAGAGGGGAAAGTGTTATGAAGCCAGTTGTTGCAGGTTCAGTTTTTGTTTCTTTAAACAGTACTAAAACCTTGAGACACTAAAGGTACATTGCATGGACTTTTGTTAAGGACTTCAGAGATAATATTGCTTTAACCAGAAAAAGTGAACTCTTGATTAATTTTTGTTTAAGGTAAAAAATAAGCTGATGTACTTGTGTTTTGAGCTTATTTTGCAAAAATGTGTCCTCGGACATACTAGTTTTTAATGGAGAGAGTTTTAGATTATATTAGAAAGTAGAAAGTATTATTAATGGAGAACGGAGTACTTACTTTTGTACATCTGCCTTGAAAACCAAATTTAACTGGTAATTCACTCACTTGTTTTCTTCTTTGTCCTAGCTGCAAGTTATTCAGTGTATTGATGTGGCAGAGCAGGCATTGACTGCCTTGGAGATGTTATCTCGCAGACATAGTAAAGCTATATTGCAGGCAGTAAGTATTATATTATCCCCAACAGAGAGAGGACTCTTATAAATTCGTAGAACATAAACTGCATGGTGCACAACTTCTTCCCTAAGTTGTAACTCTTTCCACCAACAGTGAGTTTTTGGTGTAACAGTTTTTTTGTATTATAGGGTGGCTTGGCAGACTGCTTGCTGTATCTGGAGTTCTTCAGCATAAATGCCCAGCGGAATGCACTAGCCATTGCTGCTAATTGCTGCCAGAGCATCACACCTGATGAGTTTCACTTTGTTGCAGATTCTCTGCCATTGCTTACACAAAGATTAACCCATCAGGTAAGAAGCCTCTATAAAGGTGGTGTAGTCTTCATTTTTACATTTTAAGGAAATGAGATGCTACCTGTAGTGGTCCTATTCTAAACTCCCACCTCCCTCTTCCACTGCTGCCCCATGCATGGCCCAGATTCACTTTCGGCTTTCTGTGCTACTTTGCACTGTCCCACCCCTGGGGTGGAGGCAGGAAGCAGCAGTCAGAGGAAGGAAGGAGAGCTGGGGACTCTAGGTGCTATTGCAGCCGGAGCAGAAGAACAGTGACTGGGCAAGAATCTGGCGCCACAACTTAACTCCTAGCCGGCTGCCAATTGGACAACCATGACTTAAGTGACACTAATATCCCTGTCCCTGGAAATGAGGAAAGCGGATGTCATCCACTTAGAAATTTCTGACATTACTACTTGATGATTGATTAGAAAACATATCTAGGATCTGAAGAACAAGTATAAAATGGTACAGAGGATTATTAAAAAAACTTTTTGAATGGCTATTTTACATTGTTCAGTTTTTCTCAAGATTTGTAGTACCAATAGCAAAATTATGACTAGTTCATATAAATCTGTGGATTCGGATTATTAAAACTCTTGCAACCACAACAGCGGTTTCAGCACTAGTTCGACATAATTCCAGTTGCATGTGGTAGTTACTTTCTCTGAAACCAGTCATGTTCTTAGCCTGATAATGGATGTTTGATGGTAACATACACGAGTCACACTCTCTAGCACAAGGCTACCTTTCCTTGCATTCCACAGTGGTAGGATTCCTCTAAAAGCTTGTAAATGACAGTCTGGGAATTCCCTCCTTGGGGACTTTAACCCAGTGATAATAAAAATGATGAGAAAATACCCCAAGTCATTGGCTGTGCCCTCTTCCCCAGTAGTCATTCATAAGTATGCGCTTACTTTCAGACCTCCTCATCTAAAACATGTCTTAAGTTGATTTCTGCCTTCCACATCCTTCTTAAACTTTCTTCCCTAAATTGCATAGCAGTTCAGGCAAAGGAGACTATACACATTGAATATTATTTTATACGCATAAAACTAAGCCATTCAGATGTATATCTAGATTTTTTTTTTTTGTGGCTTCTGCTGAAAGGGCTAAGGAGCAGCATGCATCTTCCCAGAGCCAAAGTGGGTCTCTTACTATCAGGTTGTCATATCTTTTGGATAAGAAAAATCCCTGACGGTAGTTTGGAGGTTGGGCAGTCTCTGGGAGATGTTTGGGTAACATTGCCGTGTCTTGGATATTGTGAGAACTGCCACGTGGAGTCTCTTGTATATTTTTTATTCATGGTTGCAAATTGGAGACTAGTTCTGATAGTCCTATGATTGTATCTTTTCAGTATCAGGGCAACTGCTCTAATTTTTAAAATAATGGAACCTGTGAGACGAGTACTTGCAGAAATCATGACTACTTTACTTAGAGTTCTGAGAGTTCTTTAATGTGTTGACAACCTGCACTTACCTGCTGTTAAGAGTTCTGCCCTTCCTTGTAAAAATGTAAGGAAATGATTTGTGGGTTGCACCTGTCCCACATTGCACACCCTCTGATATGGGGAACAATGAGGCCCTTAAATTGCAGGGATAGTCCCAACAGAAGCTGTTACTTGGAAGGGTCTAATCTCATGTGCATATGCACCAAGAGTGGAATTCTTGTGGATATCATCTCAGGCCACTCCTTGTTGTAAGGTAACTGTTTTCATTCACCTTGCACATATGTCTGTGCTGTTGGTGATGTGTTATAGATTGCTTTTTTTAATAGGCCTGGTAGATCATTAGGAGTTATAATTTTTTTAAAATTTAAATGTTGTTATACTGAAAGTGAAACTGAGGGTGTTTATAACTATAAATACATTCAAAATACTAAAATGTTAGGTATTCCCTGGCAAGAAAAGCCACTAGAACTTGTGGCCTAACATTTAGTATTGTATGTGGTGTAAAGGTATAGTACATGCATAAAGTGAAGGAACCTAATGTGGGTTTTCTATGGAAGGGCAAAGCTATTAGTATTGCTCAGTGAGAAGTTAAGCCAAGGGTGGGCAAAATATGGTAGTCGGAGGGATTTGGTCCTGCCTGCAGTGGGTACCTCAGTTCCACCTGGCCCAGGCGCTGTCCAGCTCATGGTGCATCCCACTGCCCTGGGTGTGCAGCAGGGCTGGAGCAGCTCTGTGGCTTGATTCCATTTCTAGGCAGTCCAGGCAATGGCAGCTTCTTCCAACTACCTCCACCCCATGGAGACTGGTGGGGATCCATGCGCACAGCCCCAGCCCTGGCTCAGCCAACCCTAACCCACCCCATGCGCACTCTGGACCTGACGGAGCAGACCAGCTGGGACTTGTGCACATAGCTCTGGCCCTGGGCTTCCCCAGGCCCACTCTGGACCCACCCATGGTGACAAGCAGTGGCTAGGCAGAAACTGCTGTTGAGTGCAGGAGAAAAGCAGCCGCCACCTTCTTGCTGCTGCCAGGTCCTTCTTGCTGCTGCCAGGTCCTTCTTGCTTCCGTCTCCCAGAGCCCACACCCAGGCTGTCCTGTGGCTTCTCTCCACTACCACCAACGCTGTCTCTGAGCCACCCAGTGGGGCAGCGGTGGCAGTGGAGAGAAGTTGCAGGGCAGCCTGGCCATGGGCTCCAGGCGGCCGCAGCAAGAAAGGCCTCATTCAGAGTGGCGAGGGAGAAGCCACTTTTACTCAGCAGCTCATAGATTCACAGATGTTCTCCTGGCTAGGCCAGTGCCACTCATTGTGGGTGGGTGGATCCAGAGCAGGCACAGGGCTGGCCGGGGTCAGGGCTGTGTGTGTGGGTCCCAGCTTGTCCAGAGCTGGTCCAGGAATTTAGACCTGTCTTAAGACTGAGATTTGAATGTTTTGTACATCTTTTCACTGTTTACAGGTTTAACCTGTCATAGTGACTTTGTATTTTGTAATCTAAAATGGAATAATTTTCTTGTGATACATTTAGTCTTGTAGGCTATAGCCATTCTAAGAAATTAAGTAGTGTTGGTTTGAGGGGAAAAAAAAAAAAAAAAAAAAAAACCCCAAAAAACACATTTTTTAAAAATCCTTTATTACGTTACAAACCGCTAAAAATTGGGCTTCTACTTTTAAGCAGGGAGAGGAGGAATAGGTTGATGTCTGTCTGACTGTGCAAGATTGTATCTCTTATAAAAGCTCTAAATTTTTCAAAAACTTTTTTTTTATAGGACAAAAAGTCGGTAGAAAGCACTTGTCTCTGTTTTGCACGTCTGGTAGACAATTTCCAACATGAAGAGGTAACTGTTTTTCTCTTTGTTCATGTATTATATTTTCTTTTGAAAGGTTGTCTTAAATAATCAGACCAGAATTTTTAAAATTCTCTCTTTTCTTAAAGAATTTGCTTCAGCAAGTTGCTTCTAAGGATTTGCTCACAAATATTCAACAACTCTTGGTAGTAACTCCTCCCATCTTGAGTTCTGGGATGTTCATCATGGTGGTGCGCATGTTTTCCTTAATGTGCTCCAATTGTCCTACACTTGCAGTTCAACTTATGAAGCAAAGTGAGTGCCTATGTTCCTCTTACTTCTGTACCATCCTGCCCCTTCACTTGTTTTTTGCATATCAGCATTGAAAGTGAAGGGTTGGTAAGAATTGCACTTCATAATCTCTAATGTACATAATCTGTTAGATTTGGCAGTTTTTATAAAAAATTGAGAGGAAAAAATACAGAAGTAGTGACTTCTGTACTAAAGTACAAAATATAGCTAGTCCTCTTATTTAGAAGGAACTCTTCTCTCTTGGTAGAGAGATGACCAGGTTTGTCATATAAATGTATATGTTAACATTTCAAGTAAAGTTGTTCAGCTGATATTTCCTAGCTGGGGAAAAATGTGAGCATTAGATAGGCACTGGATAGGAAACATGAAAGAAAACTGGCATGCTGTATTCTTAATTTAAAGCAGTTTATGCTGATTTTTCATTGTCAGTCTTCCTTTTGTCACCTCCATCAGCCTCTTAATCTTCGGCTCGCTGCTCCAGCTGACCTCCCTCCCTTTCTTGCTCTCTCCCTTTCTCAGGTTAGGAGAAAATTAAATGAACTCCAACCCAAATGAATTTTTGTTTAAAAAAATTTTTTTTTTAAAGTGACACTTAAAAGCCATCACTCTAAATGTTTTGTAAACATTCCCTTTAAACTTAGATTGTAAACTCCCAAGAGCTGGGATTGTCTATGCAGTATAATATATAGTATGGTGGAGCCTCTGTTTTGATACTGGGTAATATCATAATATAACTACTTTCTTAAAGATATTGCAGAAACACTTCACTTCCTTCTCTGTGGAGCCTCAAATGGGAGTTGTCAGGAACAAATTGACCTTGTTCCTCGAAGTCCTCAAGAACTTTATGAGCTTACTTCTCTTATTTGGTAAGCTGGTTTGTTTATTTTTTGTTGTTGGTTTTTTTTTTTTTTTTTTAATGCAGTGTTAGGTTTCAGGTATTGTTGGCATACCAGTTTAATATTCTATGGAAATGAGGGCTACTAGTCTTCAGAATACAGTTCTGTTGGCACATAGCTTTTACCAATGTGTTGATTTTGATATTCTTTTCAGTGAACTGATGCCTTGCCTGCCTAAGGAAGGAATTTTTGCTGTTGATACTATGCTAAAGAAAGGAAATGCACAAAACACAGATGGTGCAATATGGCAATGGCGAGATGACAGGGGTCTTTGGCATCCTTATAACAGGATTGATAGCCGGATAATTGAGGTAGTAGTTCAGCATGTGATCTAAATGCATATGCATTTGTGCAGGTGTTTGAATGCTTTACTTTTGACTATATATTCTAAACTCTACATAGGTTAATTCAAGTGTTATTTATTTTTTTTCTCCGTGAGGCAAGGCTCTATAAGAAGGTATTCTTAATAATACATTGATTATTCACTTTTCTGTATTTCTTCCAAATTGGGTGAACTGTTGAATGCCAAGTTAGGCAGAAGGCAGGGCAGGGTGGCACCTTTTAAACTAACTTCTTAGATAAGAGTTAGTAATGAGGTAGTCCAAAGTGCTGCCATGCCCTAGCTGCTTCCTGACTGCAGATTAACATGGTTGACTAACTTTCAAATACCAATTTAGTTACCTGTATTGTATTATGTGTTCATCAGTCTTGGTTTTTTCATACCAGTGGTTAAGGGTTGTCTCCATTTGGGAATAAGTTAATCTCGCTGTCCACAGAGCAGTCGGTATACTTTTTTTTAAGCGTGGCTTTTATTCTTTATATACACAAGGGGGGAGGTGAACAGTTGTTCTTTTGGGATTCTTAGGCGATTTTAATTTTGTTGATTAAACTCATATTCTACTGTTTGTTGTTTAAAGTGAGCAGGTAGAATGAGTAAAACTTTGTTTTTCAATTAAAATGGGCTTTACTCCAAAGAAGCTTCAGAAAGCCAGAAAACTGACTGCCGTAAAAAATAACTAGCACAAGTCAGGATCATGTCTAGTTTTTGCATGATTCAGTAATTGGATTAAACTGGCATTTTTAACTGTATTGTTCTTAACTAGATAAATGTTTTTGTTACTTTCCCACCTGCCATCCCTGTGCCCCATTTCCATTACGGGACATGGAGTTCTATTTAATAATGCTGAGCAGTAAAGAGTAATTTTTACAGAATCTTTTGCATAGATCGAAGGTCAGAAGGGACCTCAGTAGATCATCATTTTTTTTTTTTTTTTTTTTTTATTATTCTTGTGTTTCTCAGGCAGCTCATCAGGTTGGTGAGGATGAGATAAGCCTGTCTACATTAGGGCGTGTTTATACTATTGACTTCAATTCTATGCAGCAAATCAATGAGGATACTGGAACAGCACGTGCCATTCAGCGAAAACCGAACCCTTTAGCCAATACTAACACTAGTAAGTACCACCTTTTGAATCATACTGGCATCTGTGGTTGCCACTTGTTTATGCTATAGCAGAGTATGTTACTAGCTGTTAGTTTGAGACTTGACTGCTACTATCACGTGAATTAAGCCTGCATTAAGACTGTTGAGTTTTACTTACTGACTTGTACTTTGCCATATTAATTCTTCAAACTACTGGCAGTTGTCTGTTAGCTGGTATATTGGAGAGTGGAATGAAGTTTGCACTCAAGGATCTTTCTGGAGTATGGTGTGAGGTGCCCAAGTAGTCATGGCCCTGGAAGGGTGCTGCTGAACATGTTGGGTCCGGTATACCACCACCTCCTTACCACTTTTACTATGACTGCAGGAGGTCAGCTGAGGACCCACCGATCTGGACCCTGGCCTTCCCAGGCAGCTAGCCTGAGGCTTGCCCCTGGAATTGCAGGCTTTTCCCCAAGCCATGGGCTTCCTGCCCAGAGTCTGTAACTGGTAACTTAATCAATAATAAATTAAAGAAAAGAGATTACACTTAGTTTGTGCCTGTCTGGGGTTCCTGCCATCCACTCTGTGTGGTGGGTCTGGTGCTTCCAGCAGCCCAGACCTGGGCACAGGCTGGTGGCAGCACTCCTGCTGAGGCTAAGGGAAGACTGCCTAGGGATCATGCCATCCTCACATCCCTCTAGGTGGCAGCCTGGTTCCCCACCAGAGAGGCCCCCTGTGCAGCTGTTCCTGGCTGCTCTTAACCTCCTGCCGGCCGGCAGAAGTGAGCCCTTCTGCCCTGTTGGGCGGCCAGGCTTCCAATTGCCCACAGCTGGGGACCCTTCCCTAGTGATGGGGACAGAGGCCCCATTACACATGGACAAATTCCTTCAGCTGTGTTTGATGAAGATGTTGACTTCCTTTAAATCTCTAAATTATTTTCCTTCTGATTCCTTTACTTAAAAAAAAAAAAAAAAAAACAAAAACAAAAAAAACCCCACAAAAAAACAAAACTCAAGAAAAACGGTGATGTAAAAATCAATATCTTGCAAGACTAAATAACAATTAACAAATTACTTTGCTATCAATTCCATTCAGAACAAAGCTCACTAGTTCATGAGAGAAAATTAGACAAATTCAGTGTGAAAATGAAGCAACTCAAGCATCCAAATATGATTTATTATAGGTGGACATTCAGAATTAAAGAAGGATGATGCTCGAGCGCAGCTAATGAAAGAGGATCCCGAGTTGGCAAAATCCTTTATTAAAACATTATTTGGTGTTCTTTATGAAGTGTATAGCTCTTCAGCTGGACCTGCTGTTAGACATAAGTGCCTTAGAGCAATTCTTAGGATAATTTATTTTGCTGATGCTGAACTTCTGAAGGATGTTTTGAAAAACCATGCAGTTTCAAGGTGAGTTGTTAATGAAACTGTTTTAAACTCTTTGATTCTTCCAAAGACTTGTTTATGAGCTCATCTTGCATTTCAAAAGTGCTCAAATGAGAAGCAAGCAGTTCATTTTGGCTTGTCAGTGAGAGCTGCAGATGCTCAGCACTTCTCCAAATAAAGCTTTGAATTAAGTGTGGCAACATAGTTTTAGGCATCCAATTGAAGCTTAGCTTTAAATATAGAAGTCAAAAGTAGCTATAGATGTTTACTAGTTACATTGATGGTTATAATCATATGGTGACATTGGAGATCTAGCTGCTAAAACTAAATATTGAGAACTTGTCTTATGTTACACGATACCTAAGGACCCTTCTGACATGTGCAGACTTAGTTTGAGATGGCACAACACAACCCTAACTCCGTACACTAGTGTAAATGTTTAAGGGCTCAAACCAATCTGGTAAATGAGCAGGAGGTACACTGAATGGAAAGCTCTTTATAGAAACTTTCTGGCCACAACTTTCCTTTTACAGTGAAAACATCTTCCAACTCATTCTGACCCAGGTTAACACATGTCATAGGGGAATTAAATGCCACTTGTTTCCAGCTACACCCATTCTTTCCTCGGATTTTCTTAACCTGTGTTGGAAAACAAAAAATAATGCTGGAGTTTTACATTTAACTTCAGCTGTATGTCCTAGATGAGCTTTCTTCATAAATAAAGCTTTATAAAGCCTAGAGAAATCTTAACAAATTCTAATACAAAAATTATCTGTTTTAGTCATATTGCCTCCATGTTGTCAAGCCAAGACCTTAAGATAGTAGTTGGAGCCCTTCAGATGGCTGAGATCTTAATGCAGAAATTACCTGACATTTTTAGTGTTTACTTCAGAAGAGAAGGTAATCCTGCATTTTCGTTGTTTATAGTATTTTTTTAGGGTTATTCTAAGGCAGTGAACAACATTGTACTATACAAAATAGTAAGGGGAAATTCATGAAGGCTGTTAATGTCATGACTGGGAAGCAGAACCCTAAATCTTTTCAGGAGAAGAAATTGCTGTTTTTAACTCTTTCCTAAAACTACCTTCATATCAGTCTGCTTCAACAGACATGAAGCAGACTTATTTTTAGGTTTCTCTGTGCATAATGGCTGAAATTTATATTGATTGTGCTTTAATTCTGCCAGGCAATGGCATTTGGGCAGCAAATGCACATTTAAGTTACCGATTGTTCTCTGTCACTTACGTTATTTTCTGTCAGTGACTTTATTTTTGATATCACAAATAGCACAATTTACAGCTCTCTCAATTAAAAGCTAAGGGTTGCTGTTGCTTTCAGAGTATTGTATGTTGTGTGTGTGTGTGTGTGTGTGTGTGTGTGTGTGTGTGTGTGTGTGTGTGTGCGGGTCAGGTGGATGGGAGGGGTTGGAGGACCACATTCAGAACAGAAATGCTACTAAAGAGCTTTGAAGACTATCAAAACTGCTTTGCTTAATTTTGTAAAGGGGTGATGCACCAAGTGAAAAATCTAGCAGAGTCTGAGGCTTTGTTGACAAGTCCACCAAAAGCATGCACTAATGGATCAGGAACGCTGGGTACCACTACCACAATAAGCACTGGAACAGCTACTGCTGCCAGTAATGCAGCTGCAGACTTGGGCTCTCCCAGCTTACAACACAGCAGAGAAGATTCTCTGGACCTGAGTCCACAGGGGTGAGTGTTCCACGTGTTCGGTTTATACAGATTTTGACCATTCAGCTCTCATTGATTTTGGGCAACATTTTTTTGGTTCATATCTTTTCATAACTGTGTATTTGGGGGAGATGTTAAGCAAACATTTGGGCACAGGCTGCTTTTCCTCAAATCTGTTCTGAAAAACTGGTCTAACACCTTTCTATACCATTGGTCAAAAAAAAAAAAAAAGGCAAACAATACTTACTAGCATGTTTCCTGAATAGTCACAGGTATAAAATCACTCCAACCCTACAGTTGACTTCACTGGTAGTTATGCTCAGAAGTGGTATCAGGCTGAAAGATATTACTGTCTTTATGAGCCTCATACAAACTGCAGTAGGGCCACCTTGAACACTTGCTTTTCCATTGCCAGTAGTTTGACAAACATAATTTTAGGTTGTGATTTTGGATTTAGTTCTTGATGCCACCTTTGATCAGAAGCGTAGTAAGACGATATGTACACATACCAAGAACTGTTTCCATTTTGATGTTGCAGCAGTTGTACTGCTTTTGAGCTTTAGCCCCTTAAAGAAATTGCCAAATATCAATTTCAGCACTGTAGTATATTTCATTAAGTGCAGTTTTTGAAATATGATTAGGAGGGATCTGGGTTTTCTGCTTCCACAGAAAAATGCTGAAAAATGCAGTTTTTATCTTTTAAAGGAGAAAAATGCAGGAAACTGCAGGTTTCCTTTTACAGACTGGCAGAGTTCCAGCCTGCAAGGGGCTGCTTGGGGCTGGAGGGAGCAGGAGGAGGCTGACTGGACCAGGAGGGCTCGTGTGTGTGTGTGTGTGTGTGTGTGTGTGTGTGTGTGTGAGAGCCTGGGTGGAGACATAAGCAGTGCATTACGGGGTGGGGAGGGACAGATTGCAATGGCTTGCACTTAGCCCCCACAGTGAGGGAGGGAATGGGAAAGGTTTGGCAGCTGGGACTGGAGATGCTGCCCGGCTGGGATGGTGTACAGGCTGCAGGACCAGGGTGGGAATGTAGCCCCAAAAAAAAAAAAAAAAAAAAGTGTGTGTGACCACAGGGCATGGGGCTACAGACTGGCACCAGGCTGCCTCCATGGCCCAGCTGGTGGGACCCCGTGCAGGAGGGTGGAACAGGGTAGCAAGACTTGTTGCTGCTGCTCTCACCTCTGCCAGGACCCCTGTGCCAGCTGTGCCATGGAGTAATGCGATGCTGTCAGTAGCACAAGAAGTAACAGATCGGGGTTGGGGAGCAGAGCCATGCTGCTCTCATCTCTTGCGGCTGCTCACTGCCATATGTAGTGCCTTTTTTATGGTGATTTTGGGGTGGGGATTAGACTTCTGAAAACTCTGCTTTCCCTAAAAGTCTTAACAGTTGGTGAAACCTATGAATCTTTAATAGAAAATAGTAAATTACCATCTATTGCTATGATATTATTTGTCTGAAACCAGGGTATGCTAACAGTTTTAAATATAGTGGCTTGTGAAAAACAGTAGTATGCTATGTATTTCACTACTTTATGTAAAGAAACTGTAAGTTTTTAAGTCCTGGCTCCTCTAAATATACAAGAGCAGTGTTGGATGCAAGGAGGTCAGTAAAAAGATTTCATTTAGTAATAGGAAATGGTAATACCTAACTGAGCAAGTGTTAGCTGCTCTCCTCTAATAAAAAGATCTCTCTCTCTCTCTCTCTCTGTGTGTGTGTGTGTGTGTGTGTGTGTGTGTGTGTGTGTGTTTTTAAAAGCACATTTTGGAAAAGTAAAGGCCCTAAAATCTAAGTAAATGTGTTTTAACCTCTTTTTGTAGGCGACTAAGTGATGTTCTAAAGAGGAAACGACTGCCAAAACGCGGACCCCGAAGGCCAAAGTATTCGCCCCCAAGAGATGATGACAAAGTAGACAATCAAGGTAAATTCAAAGTTCTTTTTGGGGTTTTTTTTTTTTGTTTTTAATGTGACAATTACTCCAAGTTGATTAAATCATATGATATAGATGATTCTTCTTAAAACAAAGCAACTTCAAAAGGTTTTGTCCCTTACCAACTTCACTGTATACCAGTATACTTCTAACATTACTTGTAACATTTATGGTATTAGATTCTAGGGTATCTTTTCAGTCTGTTTTTAACTTTTATTTTTGTTCAATCCTTTCCCTCCCCCTGCCACCTCCCAGCTAAAAGCCCTACAACTACTCAGTCTCCTAAATCTTCCTTCTTGGCAAGCTTGAATCCTAAAACATGGGGAAGATTAAGCACACAGTCCAATAGTAACAACATTGAACCAGCACGCACAGCAGGAGTCAGTGGTCTTGCAAGGGCTGCCTCAAAGGACACCATATCCAATAACAGGTATAAAAAGTACTGTTCAGTTCTATGAAGTTTTAAATATTCTTTATGCACAAATTATGAATCAAACTGGTTTTTAAGCAGTGTTACTTGATTCTTCCATTGTGGAATTTAAACCCTGAATTTAACTACCGTCACATTCTTTCTGAACATGCTGAAAGTAACTGGAGGAGTCCAGGGTTAGTAGGGAGAGGAATGCCAGAAAGGCAAAAGGCAGAGGGGGAGAAAAAGAAACATAGTGAGCAGAGTAAACAAACATTAAAGGAAAATAGGTTGGAAAGAAAGGTAATGTAGAGGATCTAGACCTGGGAAGAGAGGGAGGAAAGAAAAACAGTAGCAAACAAGTAAAACCTGTGTATGGGTGGGGAAGCTTTCAGACTCCCAGTAATTTGGGGATAGATGGAAGTGGCATCACTAGCAAAATCACCCTAATGGCAATGGTGATTTCCCCCTATATCCATGTATTTCTTGCATAAGTAGATTTTTGCATATAGAATCTTAAAAGGCTTGCTCTGCTGTCAAACAAGTATACATAGTGTGTGCATGTTATAAATGGTTTGAATATATCATCTTACTCTTATGTACTTTTCTGTAGAGAGAAAATTAAGGGTTGGATTAAGGAACAAGCCCATAAATTTGTGGAACGTTATTTTAGCTCTGAGAACATGGATGGAAGCAATCCTGCACTAAATGTATTACAGAGACTTTGCACTGCAACTGAACAACTCAACCTCCAGGTGATAAATGGCAACTTTGGTATAGAGTGGGGTTGGAGACAATGTAACTTACTTTTTGTGACAGAAATTGCTGTGCTCATTCTTTAGATAGTAGTGGTATGTTTGGGATATTGTTCCTACTGCCTTAGGGCCACTGTGGCATCAAATGAGCTTTGGAATTTTGAATAATATATTAATTACATTTTATTGCAAAACTTTATCAATTTTTTTGCAGAATTTACAAAGGCTTCAAAGTTTCTTTTATGGAATACTAAAATCTTACTTGTCTTTGGCACGTGTTCATTTGATGGCTTGATAGGATATGATCCCTGATCCCAACATTCATGTCTCCTACCATGTCACACATGCATGGCAGGAAGTGAGATTTTGGGATGAGAGATCAGATCCCAATTGTGCCCATGCTGCTTGCCAGTGCAGGAGGAGCTTGGGATCGTTCTGGGCTCCCCCTTCACCAGTGCAAGTCTGAAAGCTGGGTGTATGCCCCCCCTGTATGGGGCCAGTGATCAGCTGGTTGTCAGCCCAGGCCCCAGAACAGCCCCAGGTCCATGGGAGATCTGGCACTGTCCCAGTGAACTTTTTGAGGCAAATGTATGTCAGCTAAATTTGGGATCCACTCAGAAATCAGAATCTAGCTTCAGAACAGAACTGGGAATGTCTTGTATTGCCTTGTTTTGAGACAGGGAGGATGAAGAGGGAAGGGAGTGTTACTTTACTTTCCACCAAGAAACTCTGGCACTTTAACTTTGGTCAATTGACAATACCTTCTTCAACTTAGAACATGATTTATAGCATGGCGTAGGTAGGGTGCAAGCTCCAAAATAGGAAACTTTTAATTTTGTTGGTTGGTTGGTGTGGGGGGTTGTTTTGTGAGACTGTAAAATACACATCAGCACCACGCTTTTTGTATTTAGAGAAAAGAGCCTCAAATTTTTAAAAAATACAATAGGCTGCAATGTTTCTTTAAAATTGATTAAGTTAAGGAATATTCAAGTAGCATCTAAAGGCTTCTGTAACTGAAAAAGGGTTGTTTTTTTTCCCCTTTCTCAGATTGTTCATTGATAGCAACTTGCATGTTGTCAGTTACTGTTCTCCCTTCCCCTTTCTTTGTAATAATTTTATAACCTTTAAAATACCTTGAAACACTAATTCTGGCTCTTGCTGTGGAAGTATTGAAATGTGGGCCCTTACTTTCATACATTCCCTTTTAGGTGGATGGTGGAACTGAGTGCCTTGTAGAAATCCGTAGCATAGTCTCAGAGTCTGACGTCTCCTCATTTGAAATCCAGCATAGTGGGTTTGTGAAACAACTCCTGCTTTATTTGACATCTAAAAGTGAGAAAGATGCTGTAAGCAGAGATATCAGATTAAAAAGGTTCCTTCATGTGTTCTTTTCTTCTCCAGTAAGTTTTTTCAATGTATCTTGATTTTTTGTTCTTGAGCAGTAAATATCTCCTTTTATAACTGAGGGGTCCAACAGCCACCCTACCTTCAGAGAGCCGTTCATTCAGTTAAGTTTAAGCTGTGATGATGAGACAGTCTAAAAGGACAAAACATGGCATGTGAGAAATCATGTAGATTGATCTCTGGTGCAGATGCTTATGGGGAGGAATTCATACCCATTATGTGGGAGACTTTCCAAATTGGCCAGTTGGCTCTGGGGATGCAAATCAACCTTCAAAATGGCCAGTTGGCTCTGGGGACGCAAATCAACCTTCAAAAGAGACCCATTGGAACTGTGCAGAGGGGAACAGCTCAGCACTTCCGCGTGTGCTAACCCCTATATGAATACTGTAAGCAAATATGCAGGAGAAAATGTAAAAACGAGGACAGGTGGCTAATTTTAAGGCTTCTGTTTGATTCTAGATAACTAGAAATATGTTTTCTACAGCATGTCTGCAAAACTTTGTTTATAATACCACAATCTCAAGCCATTACATTTTTTTTCTAGTGTGGGATTTTAGCACGTAGTTAGTATTTGTACAAAGGTGAATCCAGAAAGTGTTAACACCATTTTTAAGCAATTATTTATATATGTTAGACGAGGCAATATAGAAATCTGATTCTCTAAAAATCTACTAAATAACAAGCATGACAGTGCATATACTGTTCTTGTCACTTAGCAAAGAGAATTTGGGAGGACAGAGTAAAGTAACTGATGTAATATTAATACTGTGGTGTTATTTTCTTGCCTTTTAACTGCTTCAGAGAGCATGATTGGATTAAGAGTGAAAGGTGACATATTTTATTTTTCATTAAAGCATTTAGGAAATGAAAGTTAATAGCCTAACTTAAATTTCAGCTTCCTGGAGAAGAACCCCTTGGAAGATTAGAGCCATTAGAAAATGCACCTTTGTTGGCATTAGTGCACAAAATGAACAACTGCCTCAGTCAGATGGAGCAGTTTCCAGTCAAAGTGCATGATTTCCCAAGTGGAAATGGAACAGGGAGCAGGTAAGCATTAATGCTCAGGTAACCCCTTTTTGCTGAGAGCCTCTGTTTTTTCCAGCACCACCTCCAATTCTGGTTGCTTTAGGAGGTGAGGGAGAATTATGTCCCCTTTTTCTTTGGGAGACTATTATGCAGCTAACATTTTGTTTTCAGCAAATAGTTTGAAGTGTATTTTAGTTATTTTGAGTGATCACTTAAAATCTGTGATTTAAAGAAGCATTCAAGATGTTAGAGGTAGAGATGTATAGCATTCAAATGCTAAGCCTCTTGAAACTTGTTCTTGTTTCTGCAGAATCACTTCTGTGTTTCTAATTTGGCATACTCACCTTTTTTAATTTGGCCTTAGATCTAAGCTGAAAATTGTTCCGCACCAATGTTCCATAAAGTCTTTTAAAAAGTGCTGCATAATATCACAATGAGATTGTGCAAACACCTACAAATGATTCACAAGATAAACCCAGTTTTTAAATTGGAATCCATAATGTAAAAAACCTTCTAACCTGTTGTTGTCTTTGAGTTCTTTGCTATAGAAGAATTCCTCTATTTTTTCCATAGTGAAAAAGTGAATGAAAGCTAAGAGCTGGCATATTCCAAGGAATGCCATGTGTCTAATGTGTTTTGAGAACCGCTATCCAACACAATGTTGTAGAAAAATGTGCTCTTATTGCTTACCCTGACTGATGAATTTAAAAAAAAATTTTTTTTCCTGGGCATTGATGCAGTTGGGTGACAGTTGCTTGTTATTTAAAAACTATGTAAACATGTTTGTGGAAAGGTTTCAAAATCACTATAGGTGTTCTGCTTGATTTTACTAAGATTTAAAATTTGTGTAAAAGTCTAAGCTACACCCTTTCTGTAATTATGGGACATGCGGCGTGCTTCTAATTTGCGGTGATAAATCATATAAACTTTAAAGGTAAGTTTGGGAGCAATTTGTAAATCACTTGGGATTTAAGCCACTTGAGTGTCTTGAGAAATAACAATGGTTTATATGGAATAACATGAAAAAATGTGTTGATTAACTGAAGGTATTTTTCTGTCAGTTCAGTTTTTGGAAACTATTTTCAGCATTGACCACTTTACTTCCTGTTGATAAATAGCATGTGTATTCAGATGAATTGTAACTTAGACTAACAGATACCAAGGTATTTGCCCTTTTAGATAGAAATGGGAAGAAGTGGTAGGTGGTTCTTTGGTATGATTGGGTCCTGGTCCATTATTGAGTCTTATAGTTACCAAAATAATACAAATTTTAAAATAATTTAAAAGCTGTTTTACTCTCCAGTTTGAATATTCAAAGTTTGTATTTAACTTTTCTGCATAAACATTTAACTTGTGTTGATGCCAGTATTCAGTGTCACAAATTTTAATCTATTAGTTGGAAAGGAGAAAATGGTGACTTCTGAATGGCATGCAAATACTGTGCACTTCAGAAATTCCTTAAAATCTTTTTTTAGTGTGTGCAACTTGATTAAGCAGTCAACACAATAAAAAAACTTTGTTTTATAAAAGCAAAATCTTTAACATACTTGGAATATAAATCCTAGCAAAATGCTGTATGTTAGAGCTGTTACTTGATTGTTATACTTTTCCAATCCTGGGTAACATCTGAGCAAAAGAGGCAGAAACTGTCTTTTCCATTAGAATTTGGAGATGGGAGTGGCACCAGTCAGGAGGTCTAATTTTTTCAAACTACACTGTTTGTAGAAAAGTAAGCTGTGACTGCATAAATACAGAGAAATGAAAAGCAGAGCATATATAAAGACTAAAGTGGACCCAGTAAGTGGAGATCAGTACACACAAGTGATGGCAAACAAATTAGAAACAAAGTCAAAACTTAAGGATAAATGGAATAGAAGAGTGAAAAGTATGGTACAACATAAGAGTAACACAATGGATGTGGGGTAGGGGTGCATCAACATTTCAGTGAGACTTGAAACTGATTTGAAGACAAGCATCCCGCCTGCTACCTGTTGGAGGCAGTGGCTGCTGCAGTGGAGCACTGTATAGAGCATGGCTTCCTCTCTGTGGACAGCACAGCCAGAGTGGATCCTGTGGGCAGGTGGGTGCAGGCTGCTTGCTGTGGGCTCGGGTTTCCTGGCCGGCTACCCTCCTCCTGCAGCATTGTCAGTCCAGTGGGCAAGACCCGGTGTGGTAGAGTAGGGCAGGGAAGCTTAGTTCTGCCACTGCAAACCAAACTTTGCCATGGTGAGGCCCACTTGGCATCAGCGAGAGTGGTGTCACGGACTTGTACATCCCACTGCTGCCAGGTGGACAAGGAGAGCCTCGCCATAGCAGCACTTGGCTCGTGGTGGCATCACCAAGCTTCCCCCCCACCCGGTTTCACTCTGCCCTCCCATGCCAGGTCCCACCCACTAGGCCTGGTGGGGGGGGCAGCATGGTGGGGAGCCTGAGCCCACAGCAGGCAGCCCGCCCCCACCTCACACATCTGGTGGGCCCGTGCCCCCCAGGCTTCCCTGGGAGTGCATGCAGCAGTGGGGAACCAGCCCTCTTTCCACCCCCCCGATGCGTCACCTGTGGCTCTGTTCCACTTCCTGCCGGGGCCCTACAGCCATGCATTCTGGTCCTGGGTCCCAAGCATCACCCAGGCTCGGCACTAGCCCCAGCCCTGTTCAACTTCCTCTCTCCATCCCTCACTATGGGGGCCTCAGTCCCGCCCTGACTTACCTGCAGGAGCTGCTCTCCAGGCTGCCTGGTGGTCATGTGCATGTACATGCACATGGTGCCCCCTGCCTGACTGTCCTCCTCCTGTTCCCCCCAGCCCCTTGCAAGCTGCAACTCTTCCAGCCTGCAAGGGGAAACCAACAATTTCCTGCATTTTTCTCCTTTAACAGAGGAAATCCAGGTTTTCCTCCTTAAAATGAGAAAATCCATGTTTTACTACATTTTTGCCATGGCAAACAGAAAACCCAGATCCCTGATGATAGGCAACTAAAACTGCATTCAGTTTAGGTGCCTTGTGGCTTGCTTTTTTTTTTTCCCCTCTCCTTTTCATTTACTAAAAAAACCCCCCAAAAAACAAAAAAAACCCACTCTCTCTGAAATCCTGATATTTTTTTATATAGGTCCATAATCTGGAATTTGGTTTTGGTGTTAGGCAGCCAAGCTCAGTAATCTGAAAAGATGTACACTTAAGGTTCACAGTTCTCCATATTTTTTAAAACAGAGCTAAGTGAGAATTTTTTTTCAAATATTTCTATGTAAATGAGACCCTATATGTTTTGTATAATATGTTGCTAATGCAAATAAGAGAATAGAATAACTGTAGCAACTTTATTCACAAATTATCTTGAGTTTTTCTCTCAACAGAGGATCCCAAGCTTTAAAATTTTTCAACACACATCAGTTAAAATGCCAGCTGCAGAGACATCCAGATTGTGCTAATGTGAAACAATGGAAAGGTGGACCTGTGAAGATAGATCCCCTGGCTTTGGTACAGGCCATTGAAAGATACCTTGTTGTTAGAGGTATTTACATCTTAATGATTTTTTTTAACCCTTGTGCAGTGCCATGCATGTTGATGGTTCTCAGTATTTTTACCTAATCCAAAACAAATAGTTTGTAGAGTCAGACTCCATTTAGTATGATTTCTGAAAAAGTGTCATGTCAGGGCAGAAGATAAAACAAGCAGGCAATTACATTTTTTTTTTTTAATCTTCATTTTATAGCTGTCTAGATTTCCTCCCCCTAGCAGCAAGAATCTTCTCTCTCTACCAGATAGCTCCTTGTTGCATGCAGGTTACACTTTTCTAATCTCTGGATCATCATGCAGACTGCAGGTGTATTTTTTGTTTTTTTGCATGCACTTTCAGTGCTGGTGCCATAGTCAAACAGATGACTCTGAAACTTATCCCCTAACAATTAGATATCTATATTGGAGAGCGATTCATTCTTGAATGTATAAATTGTTTGGAAGAGTAGTTTGGGGTTATCATGTACATGATTGAAGGTAATGCATTACTAAAATGAAGTGCAAATAAGGATATTCAACCTATTTTGTTAGGATATGGAAGAGTGAGAGAGGATGATGAGGATAGTGATGATGATGGATCAGATGAAGAAATAGATGAATCTTTGGTAAGTTGCTATTCTTGCTATGGAATGTATGACTAAGCTAATGGATCAGCTACAAAATCTTTGTTTTGCTTTATTTAGGCTGCTCAGTTCTTAAATTCAGGGAATGTGAGACACCGACTGCAGTTTTACATTGGAGATCATTTGCTGCCATATAATATGACTGTATATCAAGCAGTTAGACAATATAGTTTACAGGCTGAGGAGGAGAGAGAGTCTACAGATGATGAAAGCAACCCATTAGGAAGAGCTGGAATTTGGACAAAGACGCACACCATTTGGTAAGCTGGCCAAAGGGAGCAAGGAAGAATCTCTCTCAAAAGTACTGCCTGGATAATTGAGACTGAGAAATACGTTTGTAGGATCCCAAACTGTTAAACTATCTTTAAATATCTTAAGCAAATGTTTTACCTGGTGATAAACTTGATTTTGAATTTTTTTTCAGTGGTTTGCATAGGAAGGGCGTGTTTGCTGATTCTAATCGGCACAAGCTAAAGAATTCCAGCTCATAGGAGGGGAGTTGATATACTGCTTTGGAAATTTTAAAGGGATGCTTACCTCAAATGGAAGAAGCTGTATTGAAGAATATACTGTTTTCTAATTGCAGACTATTACAAACACTAGGGAGTGTCTGAAATTTGCAAATATTAATTTGGTATCACTAAAAGAAATTCTGAGGTTTTTTTTTTTTATTTGAAGATCTCCTCTAATCATGCAGTGCATTAAGTATTGGTTGTACGGTTTCTACATTTGTAGTAATCTCACCATATACTGCACTAAAAATGTTTGAAAGTCGTTGTCTGTAGCAGCTCCACACAATATAGTATAGTGTGCCACACTGTGAAACTGATATTAAAGAACAAACATAATTTTTACATTGATTATTGCTTCTGCCTCATCACTTTTCCAATATGAAGCTGGTGACTTTTTCTCAATATGGTTCAGGTTCCTTTTTGGCAAAAAAAATAGCATGTTTGGGCCAAAATCAAATGCATTGTTAACTTTTGTCATTTTAAATAAAATGCTGGCACCCTAATTGAGAGCTGCCACTTTTGCTTTTGGTTTCACAGGTTTTAGTTACCCAAAATCACTTTTTATTTTAAATGGTTCACAATTTTTAGGTACAAACCAGTGCGAGAGGATGAAGATGGTAACAAGGACTGTGTTGGGGGTAAAAGAGGAAGGGCACAAACTGCTCCCACAAAAACTTCTCCTAGAAACTCAAAAAAGCATGATGAGTTGTGGCACGGTAAGCACTTGTCACATGGGCATGGGCAGGGCTCACCTGTGAAAATTCCAGTGGGGAAAGGGTGATCAGATGCTTTAAAGAAAGATTTTCTTATATTGTATGCATTGGTTTCCATATTAGTTACTCTTGAGTTTTAGAAGGATTTAAATTTGAGTAACTGGTCTAAAAAAAACCCAGCAAAGTACAAGTATGGACTGCTAATTTTTCATTGATTTGATTTTGTTTGGCTAAGCAGTTGATCTGTTTGACAGTAGAAATGTGTGCCTTTTTTCTCCCTACTAGATGGTGTGTGCCCATCAGTATTAAATCCTTTGGAAGTTTACCTCATATCTATACCACCAGAAAACATAACATTTGAAGATCCTTCATTAGATGTTATCCTCCTCTTGAGAGTTTTACATGCTATCAGTCGATATTGGTATTATTTGTATGATGTGAGTAAAACATTTTATTTTTTTCAAGACTTTCTCCAACAGGTGCCTGTTGCCAGAGGCCTATATTTTTGAGGCAATATACAGAATGAGTAAAACAAAAATTTGACATGCGGCCTAAACATCGAACCATTACAAAAGAGGATAGGATGGAGATTTGTTACTTAAGAATACATCTCAGTTGAACCAATATAACTGTTTCCCCTGTCTACTCCTTTACCCCTGGAGTAGAACTATGATTCTGTAACTTGAAATGTGAATGAAAGGTTTACAGTCAAAGCAGTTTAGTGTGAACGCTCTGGCTAACAAGTTTTATATTGGATCAACTATAAATGTTAGTGTTTTAAAGTATCCTAACTTGGTGTTTCCACTCTTTGTATGTAAAATCAAAGCATTAATAGGACTTGGATGCTGTGAATCGCTAGTTGCATATCTATCTGAAAATTTAGTTTCACATTGCTTATTAAGCAACACTTTTTAAAATTATGTACATTTAAATGGTAGTGTTGGAGTCATGCTGTAACCATAATGGTCTGAGAATTAAGCAACAAGCAAGAATTTTTGTGGGTGATTTTATAGTTTATTGGACCCAACTGCATGGTTGGGATAAAGTTAGTTCAAATGTAAGGCAATCTTCATTGGGTCACCTGGTAAAAACCTGATGAAGAATGTCTTGTATTTGAGCATTTGATCCAAACCATGCTCCAATTGATCCAACCATTGATCCAATAAACTATAAATCACCCACAAAAATCCTTGCCTGTAGTGCAGGGGTTGTCAGTCGGGGGTATGCGTACCCCTAGGGACACTTTGAAAGGTCCCAGAGGGTACTTGGGGGGCAGGTGGGGATGGAGCACTGCTGCCTGCAAAGGAGCAGGGGCAGGTCAGGGCAAGATCAGCAGCACCCTCCTGTGGGCAGCACAGGTGCTGCTTGCCCCCCCAACCTCGCTGTCTAGCTGCTCACCCCCCTCCCCTGCTTGCTCACCATCTGGCCAGGCACCCTTCCCCCCCCCCAATCCCAGGGGTACACTTACTAAAAAGGGGGCCGCCAGAGGTACACTTAGTAAAAAAGGTATTCCTAGTACATTTAAATGGTTACCTTTTTAACATAAGTTTAGAAAATATTTACTAAATTCTATATGACACTAATTATGTACTGATCACTATGTGCGGTGGCAAAAACTGCATTCAGGAATACCTCTAATGGCCCTTCTGTCCATAAAATAGTGGGATACAAGAGGTGTATTGGGGATCTTAAGTAATCTGCAGAAAATCCTTGAGCAGCAAGAGTTCAGCAACTTTACCTTTTGCCCCTTATATTTATCCTCTGGTAAAGTTGCTGAACTCTTGCTGCTCAAGGATTTTCTGCAGATTACTTAAGCTTCTGCAGTGTATCATTTTCATCAAATTTGTAAAATTCCTTCTTCCCTCAAACCTCCTCAAAAATCACTCTTCTTCAAAGAGGTAAAGGAGTGGTTGGTAGGTCCTTTGGATAGCATGTTGATCAGCCTTGGTCAAACCAACCACAGTGGAAAAAAAAATCTGACTGGTGAAGCATTTGTATAATGAAAAGAAAATTAGGAAGACCTGGTATTGTTACTTCCAATACCTCTCTAAAAAGACATTGCATTTATGGGTGTGTTTGACTTTTTTATTTAACATCACAGAATGCGATCTGTAAGGAGATTATTCCGACCTCAGAATTTATCAACAGTAAACTGACAGCAAAAGCAAACAGACAGCTTCAGGATCCATTGGTAATCATGACAGGAAACATACCAACATGGCTGACAGAGCTTGGAAAAACCTGGTATGAAAACATTTGCTTTCTGCAGCCTGTTAAAGTTTGAGTTTAATGAGTTGCTCTGCATTTTTACTGTTCAAAGTATAACCTTCTTTGTTTTAGATTAAATACCATTTCTGATTTCCTGATACATAGGTAAGGTAGTTAAGTTAAATGATTTGTGGCTGAGTCTTAAAATAAAAGATATTGCATGACTCTTAAATTAGTACTTAAATATATTTAGATTGATTCCAATTTGGAATGAAAAGGGTCATTATTCACATTTGAGATTACTACTCAGACTCCATGTTTTTTCAAAGATTCAGCACTATGGTTGCCAAAACTTTAAATGCATGTTCTTTTGACTTAAAATGTGATTTAGTGAAATTAAATAGGTAAATGATAAAATCATTAAACTGATGTTAAGGTTTGGAAATGTTTAATGCTGGAGTTTCAGAGTTAAAATGTAATATATTGCATCTGAGTAACAAATACTGATTTGAAATTAGGAAACTCGGTGATCCTTAAAACAATACAAATAATTGAATTATGCCTATGTTAACAACTGGGAGATTTAAAACGGTATTATGCCTGAGGAAAAAAGTAACTGAAGCAACTTTCCTTGACTATAACAGGTGGTTAAAAACTGAAAATGTATACTCTGTCTTGTAACTGTTTATTTTGGCCTTTTTTTCCCAAACAAGTGCATTGCGTCCTCCATATTTCGGTTTGAGAGAGGAATTTTCTGCAAATGCAACATATAGTTAGTGTGTGTGTGTGTGTGTGTGTGTGTGTGTGTGTGTGTGTGCATGCGTGCACGCGCATATATGTATAGTCCAGGTTATGAAATTCACAGTGTAAATGAATGAGTCAGGGTGAATAAAATGCACCCTTGCAGCTAATTTAATGCATTCTTATTTCAGTAGTACTCTTGAAATTCCAGAAGAGATGTGGTGTCTTCTGAATAATTATCTTTTGCAGACCAATGGATTTTTAAAAAACCTTTCTGAAAAATCATGAGGATAGAGAAGGGTACAGGTGGGGTATCAGTAAAGTGACTTCTTCAAACTTGTAACATCCAGAGCCACAGGCTATGAGCACTTAAATATGATCCAAAAGTAGGAGAGGCTGGAAGAATATTGACACTAACTGGGTACATCTACATGTGCAATTAATGTGAAGGGATAAACTCCAGAGCTGTTTGAATCGGAGTATGCTGCTCCCAAGTGCAGCGTCTACATGTGCCCCCAGTACAGTAGCAATTTGAGGCAGAGCAGCTCTAAGCTGGCAAGCAAGCTTGTGGGGGGAAGGGGGGTGGTCAGCCCGATGTGGCAGTGTCAAAAGGCAGAGGGGCTGGCTGGGGCATGAGTGTGCAAAAGTATGGAGCCTTGTGGCTAGGCAGCAGGCAACCCCAACACTACAGCACGCTTATGCCCCAGCCAGCCCCATCACTGTCTACACGTGGATTTCAGTGCAGTTGCTTACTCCAGAACTTAGTAACCACCTATTATTGTCCCCAACAGTATTACCTTACAGCAGAGTTAATTTACTGTGCCCTAATACAGGCACACATGTAGACTGTGACACTTTACTGCACAGCTAATTAGTCTACTCTGCAGTAAAGAGCGTGTGTAGATGCACCCACGGTGCAGATTCATATTCTGAAATACCAGGGGTATTTTTAGTTTAAATTTCACACTGAATTGTCTGGATTTCTAATTATGGGTTTTTCAACTATGACCACTATGCAAAGTTCTTGCCGCAGTTTTAGCTAGAGTTCAGTTATTTCAAAGTTTGGGAAGTTCTTATTTTATACTGGGGAAAAATAACTTCCAGTGTGCATTAGTATGTTAATCCTACAGTTGTGGGCATAATTAACTCCCTCTTCAATCTCCGTAAACTCAGACTACAAGCTAACTCTTCCAATTCTTTACAGCCCATTTTTCTTTCCATTCGACACTCGGCAAATGCTGTTTTATGTAACTGCTTTTGATCGTGATCGAGCCATGCAGAGATTACTAGACACTAATCCAGAAATCAATCAGTCAGATTCTCAGGATAGCAGAGTAGCACCCCGACTGGACAGGAAAAAAGTAAGTACCAAAATTCATGTTGCAAATGAATAGCTAGTTCTTTCCATAATGATCATTCTTCCACTTGAAGTAAAATTTATTTTTTAAAGCCATTTGGCTCAAACTGACCCCACCTCAATATTGTTAGCGTGTACATAAGGAGACGTTTTAGATGAAGTCTATTTTTACTGGCATGGCAACCTTCCAGAAATGTGAGGGAATATGCTCTACCTACCTTTGGGAAGCTGGGGTAGAAACAAGCTTGATAGCTCTTCCTGAGCTAACCTTAAGTGTCTGATTCCTGGAGGCATTGCCAGTCTGTGGAATTTATAGGAACTTGCTTTCAAAAAATGTTTTGTGCTATACTACTTTGTGTGGATGTGAGCACTTCAGGCTTCCTTTCTAAGTTATTACTTTTCTGGTGGGATACTATTTATATCTCTCTCTGCCAGTATCATTAAAACTTTTATTTCTGGTTCAGTATTGTGTATCTATAGGGTTAGGTACCAAGTGTAATGCACTCTTAGGACTTGAATATCCCTTGATACAGAGCATAATTATAGACTAAAACATGATGATAAAACTGAATCTTAGATATTTAATTACTTCCTTGGTAGTCATTAGAGGCTAATAGAAAAGAATGGAGAAGTTTATAATTTCAGAAACTGCAAGAAGAAAGAAAAGTGGGTACATAGTTTAGTTAGGCTGCAACTTTTTAATACAACTGGGAACTCTCAGAAGTAACTTGACCTGCATTGGACAGCCTTCCTCTGTAATTCATTTTACTTACTGCAGAGTTACTGTTGGTCTCCTGCCCAGTTAGAGTCCCAGCACTGTTTTTGGGACCTGTTGCGTACCTTTCAGACAAGATGAAGGAGCAGTCTCCACGCTAAACCAGATGTTAACAGCCTTAACTCCATTCCCCACTTACTTTAGTTTTTAGGAGATGCTTTTTCATTTTTTTAGCTCAGATGGCATCTGCAGGTATAGGGTGGGGAAGAGCTAGTCAGTACTTTCTTTGCACACGTGGAAGGATGTACTGCAACCTGCCAATCCAGCTTGCAACTTCAGTCACCTCAAGTCTACATGGAGGAGAGCAGGGACCATTTTTAAAGGGTCATAGGTATATCTTATTTCTCTTCCTGCCTATTCACACACAGTCCCCACACATTCTGTTGGAGTGACTGGAGGCAGCAACATCCATCAACCTCTATTCTAGTGCACTAGTTTTAGTGTTGGGGCTTGAACTGTTTCTTTAGATCAGAACAAGAATACTACTGACTAAGGCGTAATGATCTGAGTGAAGAATCTGATATGGAAGAAACGTTAATACTTTTTTCAGCTGAACCATTTTCATGTGGAAATCACTGCTTGCTTATTCCAATGAAGTATAAATGACACATTAAAGGCAAATCCATTTTATTTGAATTGTGGGAAGAGAAAAGAGCTATACAAACTTCTCCTCTGCTTCCTGTTGTAACTGTCTTGCTTGATAAGGAAATGGGGCTTGGAAACCTAACCTTACCTAAAATTTCTGTGTAGCGCACTGTGAACAGAGATGAACTGTTGAAACAGGCGGAATCTGTGATGCAAGATCTAGGCAGTTCAAGAGCCATGTTGGAAATCCAGTATGAGAATGAAGTAAGTAATGGCTATTTTGATTAAAGAGACCCTTTGCAGTGATTTTTGTCAGACTTCCAGTAACCTTCATTGACTTAATCAAAGTATAGCTGAGTGCTTGCTGTCTTTCTGATAAGCTGGGAAAAATGATTTTTTTTCCATCGTCAAGCCTGTTGATTTTTTAAGTTAATCAGTCAGATTTGGTTTTTTGTTTTTTTTTTTAGAAGATGTTTCTAACTTTAGGCAAGTACATCTGCACTTCTCTCCATTTTATAAGTCAGTCACTATGTCAGTGTTCCTCCCAGTGTATGTATTCTTTTTGATTTTCTTCATTTTTAATGGCTGTTATTTGTAGTTAGCTTTTTTGACTGGAGAAAGGATTAAGCTTTCTTTAACAGAGAAATAATATTTCCATGCTGTACAGCTTGTACTTAAAGTTGTCAAGATTTTAACTTTCAAACCAGATCTAAAATGAGAAATTACCCTTTTGTAAAGGTTGGTACCGGTCTGGGCCCTACACTGGAGTTTTATGCACTTGTATCTCAGGAACTACAGAGAGCGGATTTAGGCCTCTGGAGAGGAGAAGAAGTAACTCTAGCGAATCCAAAAGGTAACTCACTTTTTAAACTATCAATATATTTTATTGGCCGGGGAGGGGGGTGAAGAATAGTATTTAACTATTTTTTCAACTGTAAACTTAAGTTCTATCCAGAAACATACTAAATGTAAAATTTCATTTTCAAGCTAAAGAACTGTCATTTTTGGTTCTCATACCTCTAAAACATGTTTGTACATTGAAAAACGTAGGTAATGGTCCTTAAACTTCATTTATATTAGAAAATAATACCCATAAGTTGACTTTATTTTATTTATTTATTTTACTGTGAGATTTGGACGATTACCCCCAGTGCATTCATAAAACTTTATACTTTAATCAAAGTAGAGTTAGAATTTGCTTTAGTAAATTAAATCCACCTCTAGTGCAGTTCATCATGCATTATTCAAAGACTTGTTTCCTTTGCACATGCTATAAGGAGTTGTTTAAATTTTGTAACCACATTGGGTGGAATGGAAATGTTAAATGTTAATTTAGTAATACTTTTATCCTAAATGTTAGGTTATTTTGGCCTGTTGCATGCACTGAATTCATCCATTTTGCTTTCAACAGGAAGCCAAGAAGGCACCAAGTATATTCATAATCTACAAGGATTGTTCGCACTTCCCTTTGGTAGAACAGCTAAACCAGCACACATCGCAAAAGTTAAAATGAAGTTCCGCTTCTTAGGAAAACTAATGGCCAAGGCTATCATGGATTTTAGATTGGTGAGACAAAATTGATTTTTGAGCCATATTTTCTTGCAACCAAAAATGCAACATGAAGTCCACAAAATGTGAAATGCTAAGTCATAAGGTTTTTAATGTTAATTCCCAAATCAGGCATTTGCATACCTAGTCATTTTACAGTCTACAAAATTTTGTAGGGACTAATGGACCTTCAGAGTGATTCATGGTACAATGTGATATTGAACAGTGTTGCTGCTGCATTTATATTGACAATGTATAGCTAATATATATCAACATAACATTGAAGACGTTATTGTAACTTTTTTTCTACTATGCATTTTTTATGTTTCCTATTACAAAAAGTGTACAACACTCAGCTTGTTCAAGTAGTGTTAGCAGTACTGTTCACTTTCACTTCTTGAATATAAAGAGGTGAAACAACAAAACTTCCATGCAAAAAATAGTTTCAAAACTTTAACTATCAGGAGGAAAAAACCAAAAATGTTGTTTTTTACTTCCAGGTGGACCTTCCCCTTGGCCTTCCTTTTTACAAGTGGATGTTACGACAGGAAACTTCCTTAACCTCACATGACTTGTTTAGTATTGATCCAGTGGTAGCCAAATCAATATATCATCTTGAAGATATTGTGAGACAGAAAAAAAGACTTGAACAAGATAAAACACAGGTAAGAAAGTAGATATGAGACAGAAAAGACTAGCCTTTACTTATTTATTTTCAGCTCTTGTGAACTAACCATAGTTGGACTACCATGGCTGCATTTTATGAAAGGAATAGGAATAACAAATAAGTTGGGGGAAAAAAAATTGCTAAAAATGGCTAAGCAGAATAACTTTAATTCTTGGTATCATATTTGAATGAAGCTAAATATTTTCATTCTGCTTTAAAATGCGTTTTTCATACCAATCTTAAAGGCTAGGGACAGACATTAGAAAACTTGGATCCCTAATTGATTCAGTCTTTGCAGGTTAGTCTAACCTGTGGAGATTGAACCAATTTGCAAGTGAGTAGACATTCACTTTTGACTCTGGAAATGTAGGCACATGCCTGCAGTGGCTTGGGCCAGAAGCTGGGGAGCACTAGAAGGAGCCCTTAGCTGGAGGGAAACTGAGCTGAGGGGGCACGTGGGCAGGCCTGTGTGTGACTGGGGAGGGTTTTAAACACCCACCCTGACCTGCAGGGGCCCCAGCTGGGGTCTGTCTGGAGGGGGAGGGGGGAAGCAGCCCGTCAGGGGTCCCCAGCCCTGCCCCCCCCCTTGCTGGCTGGCAGGGGTGGGGCCAGACCCTGGTAGCCTTAGGGGGAGAGGGAGGGGGCAGGGGGCCGTTCTGTAGCCTGCCTGTAAACTGTGGCCCCTGCACAGGGCTGGAGGTGGGAGGCAGCAGGTGCTGACCCACACCACCTGGGCTGCACTGCTGCAGTGGGAGGCAGTGGTCATCAGGCTCCATACCTAGCCTCGGCTCCCCCAGTCCCCCCTCCCCTGCAGCCAGGTCACATCCTCCCTCCCTGTCCTCTCCCTGCGGCCAGCTGGCTGCTCCTCAGAGGGACTTGGCCCAGGGTGCTGTGTCAGTGCCCCTCTGCTGCTGCTGCTGCCTGCAATGGGGGGATTAAGCCCCTCCTTTCAGGCTACTGGCATCTGGTTCCTGCAGTCCTGGGTGCACGAGCGAAGCTATTGATACCTGTGCTGCCCTCCCTTGCAATCAGGGGATTAAACCCCCACTTCTCCTCAGGCTACTGAGATTTGGCCCCCCTCCCCCGAGTCCCTTGCTGTACCAGCAGCAGGAAAAGGGGGACTGGAGATGCCTGCCAAGGGCTTTTGTCCAATACCAAGCAGACCCAACAGTAGTAGTGCTCCGGTGAGGGAGGAGAAGGGTGGAGCTAACCCTGCTTGGCTGGAACAGACAGCCCAGCCCAGGACTGTGGAGCATGCTGGGATGGTAGAGGACTCTGATTTAACTTAAACCAGGAAGGGGCCTGGGACAGAAGTTGCATAAACTGGTTTGACCCAAATCAGTTTAGTCTGAGACTACATTCAACCAGGTTTATCTTAAACTAGTTTCAGCCATTTTGAAACTGGTTTATGTGCACTGATCTTCTGTTCTGTTACAGGTTTAAACCAGTTTCTGATCACTTTTAAACTGGTTTATGTGTAACGTCTGTCCCTAGCCCAAGTGAGACAGAAGGCAGATCAGGCTAGCACTTTGGGAATAATTGGTTCAGAGAGGCATAAATTTTCATAGGCAACTACTTACTCCCTCAAATGCTAAGAATTTGCCTCTGAAGTGCAAGTGCCTCTTATTCTACCTTCTGCCTGATTCAGACTAACTCAGCTAATCACCTCTTCAATCTTAAAATAAAGGATTCTACAGTGAAATAAAGTTTCCAAAAATATCAGTTAAAATTATGCTTAAGCCCACAGACTTGTTCACAGCTGAGGCAGGTATATGATGAGGTAGTCTTATAACCATCTCATATGAAACAAGCAAATATTACAGCAACAGTAATGCAACAATATTCTTTCAATACCAACTTTTATAGGAGTTGAATTTTGTCTAACATTAAATCTTTAGAAATCACTTTTGTGAAAGCTCATATAAATGACTTGTTCTTCCTGGCTTTATTTTTTTTTTTTCTTTTTTAGACCAAAGAAAGTCTACAGTATGCATTGGAGGCCCTTACTATGAATGGCTGTTCAGTGGAAGATCTAGGCCTGGATTTCACACTTCCTGGGTTTCCCAATATAGAGCTGAAAAAAGGGGGGAAAGATGTACCTGTCACAATCCACAATTTAGAGGAGTATCTCAGAGTATGTAAAAGCAAAGCTATGGCCCCCTTTTTTTTTTTTCTTTTTTAATTTTCACAAAATTCTGTTCAGAATCTTCCAAGTAGTTGCTTTCAGATATTTTAAATTTAGTTTTTGTAAGATGGACAATGTAGTTTTTGGCTGCTTGCTTTAGTTTATTTGAATTCTTGATAAACTGTTTGAGCGAATTTCTTGAGTCTTAAGGATATACATTGTATTGTACTTTTAAAGATGTTTAGTAATATAAAAGAATCTGCATGTTTTTGAGGGCCTCTTTGATAACTCAAGGTATTACTGGCTGCTATATGTTCCCTGCACTTTGGAAAACAGGTGCAGAAATTATTGGGCAAGATAAGTAAATAGGGACTTTTATTTTGATCTGGAGAGCATTGGCTTAAATGACTGCATGCCTCTTCAAGCTACAGAGTGGTTGGGAGTTGAGTCACTACCATTGTATGGGTGGGCTACATCATCAAATTTTTCTCACATACTGGCATACTAGAATACCTATTATCCATGAAGACTTGTGGACTGGTTTTTAGGCTCCACTGCACAGCCAGCTTGGCTTAACTCTGCTCTAATTCAGGGCTTTTTTGCTGTCCTGCAGCTAGATCCCTGCCTTATTAGGGTTTATTTGGCAGTCAAACATCTAAGCGTCATCTTGGAACCTAAATATTTTTTCTGACTAAAAATATGATTTGAGCTACAGGTTTAGTTTTCTTTTTCATTTTTTCCATTGCAACAGCATTTTTGCTAGTAGAAACCACCTTACACACCTCAATTGAGATGCAGTTGAGACCTCATTCCATTTTTCTGCCTAATATAATTTGGTATCCACTCTAATCAGCAAATTAATTTCCCTGTTTTCCTTCTACCAGGCTGCACACTTCAGGTATGCATAGAGCCTCTGCCATCCTATTTAGATAAAACTAGGCTTTTTAGGAGATACCCTAGAAATAACGCTTTCTCTGAAAGCTACAAGTAAAATTCAACACATGTTGATCTAGGAAAACTTGTCCCTGGGTTTCCACTTTTATATGACTTCTCAGTTGCACCTTACTGCAAGATCAGGCAATATCAGTAGTTTCTTTGTGCAGACCCTTTCAGAGAAATGGAGGATGGCCATATGCACCCCTCTATGTAGTGTCATTGTAGAAGTATCACAGTCTGATTCTTGTTTTGATAATGCTCTTCTTATGCTCATTTAGACTCGACATCTATCTGAGTCACCATTGGTAGAATGTGTATAGTTGCATAGTCTAAGTGGTTACTTTTACATTTCTTAGAGTCATATTTCATAACTTGCTTTCTATCCCTCCCTCCACACTAACACGTAGGTTATGTATTAGTGAAGGAAATGACGCAGAGGAGGTTAAGATTATACCGCCCTTTATATTTTTTGTTGGAGATATGAGGACACTTGGGATAGGTGCAGTCCTCAGTGAATACTACTGGAAAGTTTGAGTGGATAAGGTGTTCGTACACATTCAGTGGAATGTCTGTGGGCAACATCCCTAACGCTACTTTGCCCAGTCTTATCTGTAAAGGATTGCTACCATGTAAAAACATTTAGAAATTCTGATGGATGGTTTTCTTCTACTAGGGTGCTATAATCAGGCTTATTTTCCAGTGCCTGAGCATATATACATTACTAGGTTCTCTTTCAGCATTCACAATGCTTTAGTTGGAAGCCTAGTATAAGCCTGAGGATGCAACTACAGATGGGGAGAACCTTAACACCTGTTTCAAATCCTTTTTTAAGATGGATTTCATGGGGGTGGTAAAATTAGTGACTCTTTAATTTATGAAGTAGTGTTGTAATAGGGTTAAATATTTTGGGGGCCCATGTTACTGTTTTTATACCAAGTCATTTTTTCAGTGACTATCAACAGAAAAAAAATAGACCAAGTGAACTTTGCTTAATAAAGGCTTTAAGGATTTCTGTTTATGCTTGCCTTGATAATGATACATACCAACATAATGCAGTCTCCAGAAGTAAAATAACCTAAACTGAACTTGGGTTTTAAGTGCTGTATTGTCAAATACACATTTTGGGCTGATTTTGTGCCCATGGCTTATATCTTTGATGCATCTTTTTAAAAGCCAAAACTGAAATGGGAATTTCTTAAATATTTGTGTAATATATTTACATACCCAAAATTGAGGTGGGTGAACTAAATTTTTAATAAGCTTAGAAGGAGCTCTGGATTTGGAGATGAGTTGAACTAAAAGAAACATGCAACTGTTTGGCAGGTTTAACTTGATGTACAAGAGGGCACACGCAGCTTTTGAATGTACTCAATTAATTACAAGAAAATTCTCAATGGAAATATCTATTGTAGCTGTTGGCAGCTTTAATTCTAGTGTTTCTGCTCTGTTTAGTTTTTTCATAACTATACGCTCTAAAACATTTCTAGAGTACCACATCAGTTTTGGAGCAATTTGTTTCCCCTTTTCAGACACAGCTGTTTGTTGCATTGCTACAAAAATGGGCTGGTGAAAGATGGAGGAAGTTGAGTAACACTGTACAGCAGCTGCTCAAATTGACAAACTGTTATAGTGGGCATTGGGCCACATTCCTTGGTCTCTTATACAATGGATGGTGGGGACAGCTTGGCAAAACAAAGAGTTGACTCTTTGAAACTCCCTTCATAGTCTGTGCATTTAATGTGACATTTTTCCTTTTGCAGCTTGTTATATTCTGGGCACTAAATGAAGGTGTTGCCAGACAATTTGATTCCTTCAGAGATGGGTTTGAATCGGTCTTCCCCCTCAGCCATCTTCAGTACTTCTATCCTGAGGAGGTAAGTAAATGTATATAGCACACATCCATGCAAAAGGCCATAAGATTGTGCACTGATCTAATGCAGTGCAATCATCATGTATGTACGGTGACTAAATTTGTGAAACCTGTTTTATCAAGAAGAGTCGATGGCTTTTTAATTGCATATGTAAGGGTTACCGAGACTCTCTTTTTTGGAATTTGACAGCAGTGCTAATTCGTGCATTTAAACCAAGGGTTGCTTTGTCTAGAGTGAAATAAAAGACTTCCCCCCAAGTTACATACCCTTTTTACATGCAGATTTCTGTATTCGTGTGTTGCCAATGTATTGCAGTGTACTTCTGTGTAATATTATTGCAGTAATACCACAAACCTGTAGATGTAGACCAGGACCCCTTTGCGTGATGGTTAGTCAAAGTAATGCCTTTTTTTCTTAGCTAATATTGAAAAAAATAATTAAACTTGTATTTAAAAACGTGTACGTCACTGCTGAATACATAGCTATTCAGCATTGTCTCCCTCTGGCAGCGGCCTTTTTTCCCTGGTGAACAAGGGCATGTTTTTTGACATTGTAAGTCTTTTGTTCTTGTTGTGTGACAGTGGTTGTGTAGCCTCTATCACTTTGCTGTCATCCTGAAAAATTCATCCTCATAGTCTGTCCTTCATCCTCTGAGCTGTGCAGAGGATGGAACAGCACAGTTTATCCAAACAGCGAGATTGTGTCTGTGGTATGTATGTAAGCTGGTGTATGGATGAGTGCTGTTATGCAGAAGCAGCACCTCAGATCTGTCAGGATAGACTGCAATGTTTTTTAGTTTCTTCAGCGTCTTGACAGACCCTTTGAGGCTAGAACTCAACAGAAAGGACGTCTATGTCCATGGCTTGCTTAAGAGAGAAATTAGGAGGTTTTATTTTTCTGGCTGACCTTCATGTTAGGAACTGTATAAACGCAACATGCCATTTGTCTTAAATTTTGCTTAAATATGTATCAAATACAAGACAACAGAACTGATTAACTGTAATGCAGAGCACACTGCTTGCCTTACCAACTTCTGTAGGTAATATGGCAAAGGAGAAATTTGAGAGAGGTGGTGAAGGGGGATAATGAAGCAATTTTGTGATTTTACAGAAAGCTTGGTGACAGCTAGTATGGATAAAAATGGAGTTTTGTTACTTTTTTTAAACAAGTAGGTGGTAGAGGCTGGAGTCTACATTTCAGTACTGGATACAGTAGTTAAATTGAGGCCATTTAAAGCATATTTGCAAAAGTAAGGCATTAAGGAAGAAGTAGTCAGTGGAGGGATTTGTGCAAAGCAACATACAGGGAGAACTTATTTTCATACTATTTTTAATGGTTGAGAGTGGAAAAGGCTGTTATAGAATTCAAGACAAATCTTGGGATGAGCTTTAGCTTTGAAGTTCAGGAACTGTCAGCCTGTGGGCGCATTTGATCCGGCTCATGAATTCGGGGCCTTGGTGGGTAGGGGCTTGGTCCTTGCTGCGCCTGAGTGATCAGGCAGCAGGGAGCATTCCCATCCTGTGCTGCACTTGAGCGGACCCAGACAGGGTTGTTCTGGCCCTCAGCCAGAATGTTGCCATTGATTAGTGTAGTTAGAGAGGAAAAAATAGTCTGAGACATAAACTTCTGCCTCTAAACCTTGTGAAGGAATGGATGGTTGTCTTGAATTAAGAGTAGCTAAGTGCCACCCCTGTCTACCTCCCATGATGCTTTGTTTGGTGATAAGAGGTTCCCCAGAAGTCAAGTTGTGTGGGTGCTTACGCGCCTTCTCCTAAACGCCACCGAGTTTGATCTTTTTTCTTTTTCTTCTTTTTTTTTATGCACTGTAACACATACTGGCTACTTTTACCAAACTGGCAGTACAAGTAAATAGCTGAGTACGTGTACTGTGCTAGGCTTTGAATTGCCATTGTTGATGGAAACTTTCTCCCAGCAAGGCTTTGTTTATACAGTACTATACTTTTGTTCTCTCTCTTGGTGGCCCGTATGGAGCAGTCCAGACTCTCTTGGGAGGCCAATTAAGATGTTGGCAACATTCTCTTCCCACTTTGTAGTTGATAAAATCAGAGAACAGAAGCAGTATCCATGATTTAACTGACCAGAACTTGATATTGCATAACCTGAGTCTTGAGAAAAAGCTGCTTCAATAGGCCATTGTTGAAAATTGGTTCAAGTGACTCCCCAAACAATTGTAAATAATTGGTTGGTTAAACTGGCTCTGACTCAGGGTCATGGTCATGAGCAAAATGTCTAAATAGGTCTAAATCAACTTTAAAAAAATTATTTATAAGTTAGAATTGAAGCTATAACTTGTTTACTGTTCATATGTATCCTGGAAGCTTCTGTTGCAGGGCTGTTTCACCTTTTGTCTTCAGACTTCCTGCCTTTGAGTGCTAAAATGTTCCAGTAGTAGGGGTAGAAATGCAATGCATGGCAGTGATACCCATGTACATTAGCTTTGGATCTGGGGGCAGCATAGCTATTTTAGATCAGGCACAGTGCTGCGCTAATTGTTGCTTCTGGAACCAGAAGCAGTGTTTGTGCTGAGAGGTAGTGGGGGGATAAAGAGAGCAGGTAAAGAGTGAACCTAAGTTTTAAATATCCAAGTACCATGGAAATTCAGGCATGACTTGATTTCCCATAATTACAAGTTTACATTTGCTAACTACAGAAAAGCAGCAGCAGACTCATAGCTGACTGTATGGAGAGGTCAGGTTCTAGTAAGCCGCTGGGGACCAACCTTTTTGGTAGTTGTGCCATATTAGCCCCATACCTTCCCCTAGTGCCACTCCAATCCCTATTTCTGCCTGATCTGCTGCTCTGCCTTCTTCCCTGTCCAATCTGCTGCTGTGCTGCCTGCCTCCTCTCTCATCTGCACAAGGTAGTAGAAGTAACGATAGAAAGCAGTTCCAGCAAATACTCATTTATTTAGATGTATATCTGCCCCATTCAAAAGACTCAGAGCAGCTTACAATAAAGAACCCACAGAGAATGCTCCCCAAATGCTCCAAATCCAAGACCTCCTCCAGTTTTCCTCCTTTTCCAAACCATCACCTCCCTGCCCAAACCCCCACACAAGCGAACCAATCCCAACCATATAATGCTAGCACAGAGTATTCATTCTGCATGAGGATAAATTCTCTGCTTAAATTTTTATAGTTGGAACAGCTTCTGTGTGGCAGTAAAACAGATACTTGGGACGCAAAGACACTAATGGAGTGTTGCAGGCCAGATCATGGTTATACGCATGACAGGTAACACTAAGTTAATTATACATATCTTGATGGACTAACTCCTATGATTGCAAATATTTGTGGAATGTGGTGCATCTTGCAATAGAAAGAGCAAGTTATGAAATGTTTGTTGCTTTTAGAATAGCTTTTAAAAATCTACTTGTATAGAGCATATAGCAATGATGCTTTTGTTTTTTAAGAAAATGAATACTGTAAGGAAATACTGTGTAATACTGTAAGATTAAAGGCTAACCACACCACTGTTCTTTTTCTTTCAGTCGAGCTGTGAAGTACCTGTTTGAAATTCTCAGTAGTTTTGATAGTGAGCAGCAAAGATTATTTCTCCAGTTTGTGACTGGTAGCCCCAGGCTGCCTGTAGGAGGGGGGTGGTATTTAATACATATCGTTTTGCTGCGTACGTATTGCCATTCGTTCTCTACTTATCTGGTCTGTGTTGCTAATGGATTTTTCATTCAGAACAATGAGTACAGTGAAAACCTGTTTCTACACATCCATTTCAAATTTTGAAATGCCACTTAACTGAAATCTGTGGTACTGTAGGCTAGTTCAGTTGGATAGATTTCATATCAAGTAATTGAAAAGTGCATTAATCAGATGGCGGTTTTGAATTGGTGACATTTCAGTAAAGCTTCTGGTTGAATGATCTCGGAAAATATGGGGGTAAAAGGGGTTAGCCAGTGTTGCCAGATATCATCATGCTGTGTGAAAAGGAATGGCCTATGTAAAAACATTTTCTTAATGTTCTTTCACTGAATGCATGTGTGCATGTTTTGGGGATGCAGGTTGTAGCCATATTGGTCCACAGGCAAAAAGAATTGGTACTCTGGGTAGAGGTGATATCTTTGATTAGATGAACTAGATATTAAAAAATATATATATATCTTTATTTGCAAGCTTTCAGGCACACTTGCCCTTCTTGAGGCATAAGAGAATGCAAGCATTTCATTTCCATCTAGGAGACATTTTACAATCTTTGCGTTCTCCTATGCCTGAGGAAGGGCGTGTGTGCCTGAAAGCTTACAAATAAAGAATTTTTTTTTGCAAATATATACTTGGTCTAATAAAAGAGATCACCTCTACTCAGAGTTCTGATTGCTGTCTGCATGTTAGGAGATAGATATAACATTCAAGTTAGAAATGATAAATAAAGAAAATGAGAGTATTAGTAATTTGTTGGGAGTTTGCCTCCTTGGTATTTCATACATTCCTAAATTAGTGTGAACATTCTAAAAAAATGACCTTTTTGATTTTTAGAAAAAACAAAGACTTATTCTTTAACTGTGCTTTGTAAATCAAAATGAAACCTTTATTAACCCTTTTTAGTCCTGCTTACATTTCTCAGTTTTCATAGTTCCTAAAAAGACTAACTTTGCAAGAATTGATTGAAAATGGAAAAACTTTGCCAGAAACTTTTTTTAATGAAACTATATAATAAAACACCAGTAAGATCTTTCAGGAATCTTTGTGCAATGGAATGAAAATTAAAACATGCCTCTGCAGTAAGTATAGATTGCAGTAGTGTTCCCTGTGAACAAAATTTTAATCAGCATAGTTGGCAGTCTTAATATAATGTGTTAGTTGAAAGGTGGGCAGTAGATGCATTGAAAAGTTGTTATAGTTTAGGGTACAAATGTTATATTGTTGTTAAAGTTTTTTAATAGATGGTTAATGGTATTTAAGAACAGGATTTTTAAGAATAACAATTTTCCTCTTTCTTATAATTACAGGATTTAGAAGTTTGAATCCTCCATTGACAATTGTACGTAAGACATTTGAGTCTACAGAAAATCCAGATGACTTCTTGCCCTCAGTAATGACTTGTGTGAACTATCTCAAGTTGCCGGACTATTCAACTATTGAGATAATGCGAGAAAAACTCTTGATAGCTGCAAGAGAAGGGCAGCAGTCATTCCATCTTTCCTGATCACAATGAAAAATGCAATGTCTGCCTGTTACAGCAAAACAGAAAAATCATGATTCTTTTCTAAATGTATCACCTGAGTCAAGGAAAAGTGTTACGCCTTGTTGTAGAAAAACGGCTTGCAGATTATAAACAAAGACACTTGGTTGATATTCATTAAAGGCCCCATGGACTTAAAAGTGATCAGGCCCTAAAAAAGTTGTTGTGACAAGGTTTCTTTAGCAAGTTCTTGTTTAAATTATCATTTATTTGATGAGTGAAGTTTTTAACTTGCTTTGCTGTGTGAAATTTAAAAAGGGATGTTTTTCCAGGCTGGAACAATAAATGTCGCTGTGCAGTTTAATACTGGGCTGTGTGTATCCATCTAGCTAAGTCTGCAGTTTTTCCTCCAAAGACAACTTTTGTACATAAGTACAGAAATTAAAATACACCATGTATTTGACAAATCTAGTTTAGTAGACTAGTTCTGTGTACCTTCACTTGCTTCTGATTTTTCCCCTCCCCCCTCCACCTCATATATTGTCTGATGTGCAATTCACTTGGTTCTTTTTGTGTGCAGCACTCTCAGCAATTGTTACGTTTTGGTTAGCCATGGGCATTTACTGCTCCATGTTTTCTCTCAAATTAAGATAATTTAAATTTTACTGAATTCAAATATATATTGTCAATATAATTCAGCCTTTGTAACTAGATAGAATCTTTCTTATAGCTTAGTTTTAATGTAGCAGTAGGATATATTGGCTACAGTCTTTACCAGATGACACACTAGAATTGTTTACACAGTGATTCAGGCAACAGAAGCCTCTTACCAGAGGCTACAAAGAATACATTTTTTTGTGTAGTTGAAAAATACAACAGATTGGGCTGGCCAATATTTATTATCATAAGGCCAGAGCATTTCGAACCGATGTAAAGTTTTGGGGTTTGGGGTTTTTTGTTGTTTTTTTGGTTTTTTTTGTTTGTTTTTTGTTTTAAAGCAACAACTTAGCAGTTTCCATTCCCTGGTCAGGTAAACAAACTTCTTGTTTTTGATTTCAAGTTCATGTTTACTTTTGTAGGTTTTTTTTCCTTCCCCAGTGCTAGCTTGGAACAAACAGTTCAGCCTTTGTCTTTTGACACAGATAAAGCACCTGTAAGCAATGCTCTGTCCAACTGTTTTATGTGCTGATTTCTCAAATCTGCAATAATTTACTTCATCAGGTTAATGTTTTTACCTGAATATAAATAAAAAAAAGTTTGCTTCACCTTTTTGTTCATAGTTTTGTACTGTATGCATAAGTTCAATTGCGTAAATTATTTCAATGCAAGTAAATCATCTTAAATCTCCCTTGGGTAACAGCCCTCAACCTGTGGATGATTTACTACTAAAACAAGAGTTTCTAAGATCTGCTATTCAACTTAGAAAATGGTGGAGGAAAAAAAGGAAGGAGAATACTTGTTTTTTCTTTCTATGGGCTACTCTAAACATTCCTGAGATGTACGTGCTATATAGTTCATCTCTATGAAAATCTGATATCATAGTTATTACTTTATTCAACTTTGAGAAATCAAAATTTAGTTTTTCATTGCTTAGCAATTGTTAAATTCTGCTTAATCAGGTGAGGATTTCCCTTAAACTAACAACAGAAGTTTTCTTTAGGTAAATAACTGTATTTTCAGAAAATGTATTTTGCTAAATGTAACTGGCATTCTTTACAGCTAGCATTCACAGAATGGCATGTGGTTGCTCTTACCAGGTTCCACCAAACTGTAATGCAAACTTGTCATGAGCAGTGGAATGTAAAACCCTTGCACAAAGTCTGATAACTGAGCAGTTTTAAGTATCGTATTAAAACCAGAACGAAGGTGCTTCACACTGTACATATAATATTGATAGTGCACAATGTGGCATAGTTTTCAGAAAAAGTTAAAGGCAGTGTTTACAGTATGGACTTGGACTGGTGTTTTAAAATTGTTCTGATAACTTGATCAAACTGAGCACAACACTGTGTTTATAGTGTGTGGATAGCAATTTGTTCATTTTTTTTAAGGTTCTATATTTAAAAAACAAACAAACAACTGACTTGTGTAAAAAGCTAATATTTTGTATTAAAATATCATGTGTATTGATATTTTTTTACCCATGTTGTCTCCCTACAGAATCTGGCTTTCATTGACTTGAGGAGTTTTTTTTTTAAATTTGAAATTTGTCATTTGTATGACAATTCAATCTATTACAATTTGGTAACAATGGCCTATGTTAAGCAAGTTGTCAATCACACTAGAGTTCCTTGTGGATGAATGTCTGTTAACCAAAAATACTACCAGAGTTTGGTATCCTGGTTCAGTCTAGGCAGAAAGACCAAGGATTTATTTGCCTTGGAAACTGAACTTTCAATCGTGTAAGTGGCTTGTCTGGGACAGTGTGGGGAAGTCTGCATGACTATGACTGCTTTACCACTCATCAGTATACTGAAGGCTGTAGTTCCTGTTATTCCAGTACCATTTCAAAAGCAATACATTTAAACGTATGTCTTGTATTAATAATTATAAATTGGTAGGCTATATAATAACAGTGGAACTATCTGTTTTTGAAAGATCTAGATTTGCTCTAGAGTTGGGACACAACTGAATCCCTAGTAGATATTTTGTCCATACAACACAATTCAGTGCAATAAGTCATCCACCTAGCAATTCAGCCCTTGAGTGGCTGTGATACAGGAGTGAAGTACGTCACAATTTCAGAAATGGAGACTTCTATTTGCATGGGAAATTTCTAACATAACCTGATATATGGACTCTTATTCAACTGAGAGGCTATTTTTGGCTTTGTCTAACCTCCTTCCCAAGAAAGAAGTTAAACTACCAAAAAAAAAATGAAAAAACATTCTTTATATCAAATAAGTGTCCATTTATCTGGGGGCTTATTACCAGCAACTGGATTAAAAAAAAATGTATAGTTTTGATTGTACAAAACCTTTTCTATGTAGACAAAACCTTTAAAATTTTGTCCATTCTGTAGTAAAAGCCATTAGTCACCCCATAAACGCTGGAATTCATCTGATTCATAGGAAAGTAGTTTACTTAATCTATAGTGCAAATATTGGGACTTCCCCATAAATATACAGGGGCAAAAACACAAAGTATGGGTGAAGTCTGTATGTAATAGCAAATTGAGATGATTACATGTGAAATGTCATATGCAGACTACCCATGTAAGTAATCGTTTGTTCTCTCTGGTGTGTGTATGGTGTTTTGGGGTTTTGTTTTGCTTTGTTTTGTGTTTTTTAATAGACTCCATGCCTAGCCATCTTTTTTTCCTTTTTGTTACCTTGTTTCCACTTGATTCATGTCTACATTGCCTGTTTACCGAGTACTTAGGAGCCGGGCCTGGGTCTTGCTTTTCTACATGCTTGATGGATCATTGCCTGTTTCAGTTTTTCCTCACTTCCTGTAGGTTCTGGAGGCAGCTCTGAATTATTATTTACAGAGCTCCAGGGTCTGGTCATACATTAGTCTCTATCTATGCAAATAATTGGCAATTTGCATACCCCTGCCTTGCCTGTAAATATCTTATCTCCCAAAGTTGATGCTGGTATAGCAATGAGCAGTAATACTCCTTCTCTTCTCCATCTGGAGGTCAATTTTCAGGGATCATTTGTTGAAAAGGACTGGCGACTCATTTCCCTTGATTTCATTCCCTTATATAAATGCAGAAGTGGTCAAATGGAGCACAAGAAAGGCCAATTGAAATTTCATCTGCGGGGAGATGCATATCCCTACCACCCAAAAAGCATCAGAAGTGTTTGCATTGTAATAATGATTGATCTTAATAGTTTGCTGGAGATTATATATTCTAGTGCCCTCCTTTCCTCTGGCTGAGATTCCCGTTCCCAGTCATGTCCCATTCTCAGCCTGTGACCATTTCTGCAGTAATAGTTCAGTGGCAGTTTGATTTTTTTTTTTTTTTTTTCTCCTCTTGTATGTTCCTTTGCTAGCTTTTAACTGTTTGGGGGCAACAGCATCCTTTGCTTTCTCTCCCTACTTTCTCTAGATCAGGGCCTAGATATAAAGGGAAGTGGAAGGAAAAGAATTCTGAAAGGTATTTGCCATCTGATTCAGGTGCCAGCTCATTTACTGAGTAATGACACCAACTCACCTGTGAGTAGGGCATGGAGAAAATACCTTACCTCCTGCTTCCTTATATATTTAAGATCCTCTGCAGAATAGTGATTTATCATCCAGATTCAACCAGTTCTAGCAGAGATGGCCAAACCTAAGGGCAAATACCCACCTTTCAGATATTTCTGGTCTGAAACCAATTTTGTTTCATCTGTCCTTTGAACATGTGATCAGGAAGAAATAGGAAACGTCTAACAAAGGTAAGCACTTATGCATATACATTGACTTGAATAGCTGTAAGAGCCAAAAATGTCATCACACTTGTATCACAAGGTCATGTGGTGGCATCACTAGCAGTTGATATGAACACATTTACAGGGGATGTCTTTCTTAGATGCAATTGATAGAAAAGTGATCACCACTGTTGGAAAGGATTTTGAGATTTTTCTCAGCTGCTTTTGAAGCATCCACGGCCAATACGTGCCTTACAACTTTTATGGTCATGGAAGACTGGGGCAATCTAGACTTCCACTCTTATCTGTAGTACATATTCCTAGCCAAGAGCGTTTGTGGTAGATGTCTCATTGGAAGTGATGAGATTCTCAGCAGCCATGCACCATTTAGCCCTGTGCTCTTGGATGACAGATGCTTACTCCAAAGAATTTCAGTGGTTACCTAAATGTAGAGGCTTTTCCCTGTTTGGGGGGGGGGCAGGGGGGGAAGGAATGTGATGGTGGCAGACAGTGCTTCCAAACCAACACAGTCCCTTTTATGACTGACTAACTACTGCATTTTAAAAAGGGATTACAAGCTTATCGTGAGGAGAAAGCCTTCTTTTGTCCCTCCTCACAAAAGATGAAGGGGAGAGGGGTAGGAGGATATAGTGAGAACCACAGTTCAAGCAGCAAACCTACAGGAAGTAGCACCACTGCTAAAAGCTTACCATAACAAGAAAGTGCTTCTGAATCTAGGATGTCGCATTTCCCTCTTCTCAGACTAGTCTCTCTTGACTGCCAACAACTAAGAGTGCATCAAACTAAGGGCCTCAGTGTTGTCCCTTCATCTAATTACTCTGTTCAAGAAGCAAGTGAGCTGTGAGTTACTGCTAAATAAAATCTCTCACCTCTTGGACATGGCAGGAATAGTAAAGCTAGCCTTGGTGAAAAGGTTGTTAGATGCTCTCTTTAATTTAGTTAATGAGGGGAGTAAGAGTCACCTAAAAAGGATTCAACAAATAGATGGAGAAAATAAGTATGCAGATAGAGAGCCTAGCTTTGACAGTAGTTGTCCTGTCTCAATGGATGTTCAAACCCATTTGTGGGCACAGTAGTAAAAGGACTAGTAGTAAAATATTGGAACAGGTTACCCAGAGAGGTTGTGGAAGCTCCATCCTTGGAGGTTTTCAAAACCTGACTAGAAAAAGGTTTTGGCTGGGATGATCTAGTAGGGGATGGTCCTGCTTTGAGCAGGGGGTTGAATTACATGACTTTGAGTTCCTTCCAACCCTAACATTCTGTGAGTCTGTGACTGCCATCTATTAAGACTTTCACACAACACAACTGATTGGTGATACAAAATGCTACCATTCAGTTCTTAATCATTAGGATTTTTATTGGTGATAGTTACAGCTGTGCTCAAGTCTCTGGGTGCTCAGCTGTACCCTTCCTGAATATAGCAAGCAAAGCTCCAACTAAAAGAACAACAGAGTACCATCATCTGAAGGCTGGAACAGCTTCAAGCTCCAAGGCAGGGTTGGATCTCAGAGCATTCATCTGTATTGGTGAAGTGCTCACCAAGGTAGCAGTCCCTGGATGCTGGGGCCACATATGTAGTCACAAAGGTTGCTTTACACATTCCCACCTCTCACTGCTAGAGAAAGGAGAAGGCAGGACAGGGTCACCTTAAGGTATGTACAAATGTTAATTTCAACTGGTGGAATTGTCATTCCACCAATTGAAATACTGTGTGAACAAGCATTTATAAGGCTTCAAATGGTTATATAATGGCTGTTATGGTGGAAATCTCTGTTGTATTGGGTCATGTTGAAGTGCTGATTCATTGGGACTCAAGTATTTAAATTAATGCTTGTATACCACACCAATCAATTGGCATTCCAGAGTGCCCAGCCCCTACTCCTAGTGTG